TCGAACAAAGAGGGTATGGTGAGCCGAAATATAGCACAAGATTGTCAATATTAACAGCGAAAGTAGCTCACTGGAAAATGCATCAAAGAAACATCCGGAATATTCCAATAATAATATAAGATATTTCAGTAAAGTAATGTTGCTTTTATTCCATTTGAAATGCTTGGATCCATTGGCTCTGTGCATTAATGAGAAATTGTGCAGCTGAACAACACTTGGCAGAGAAAACGCTTGGAAATCTGGTCCCGACATGCTTTTGGTGACAGAACACAAATTATTGAGTTCAGGGTTCTACCTTGTACGGGGAACTAACATTCTTGTGGCATCTAATAGGTCTTGCAACTGGACGGCACTTTTGAGTTTGGTCTGCAAAAGGGGAGAAATTGACACAATATAAGGAAATTAATCAAGGCAGGAAGAAGTTGGTGATAGAAAAGCTCGACCCTCACCTCAGCTCTTGGCTTTCCACCATTGTACTTCAACATCAGGTTTAACAATTTTTCCTCTGTAACTTTTAGTTTCACCTTCTGTTTAGGAGTTCTGTCGCCACTGACATGTAAAACAAAGTTTCAGATCCTTGCTAAACAGAGAGAAGTATAGAGGGATAGGAGATCGTATGCTAAAACATACTGTCGAATAACAGCAATGACACAACGTAGCTCTTCTGACTGTCCAAAAGTGCCGATGATGCCACTGCCTTGGCGGGTAAGTCCTTCATTAGGTTGTACAGGTTCATTGACCTTCCATGGCAAAGTGGGAGGAAGAGTTGATGAAAGATGAGGAGCTTTTGCATCCAAACACATTTTTCTTAGCACACAAGCAGCATCGTCGTAATACCTTATAGTACGAGAGGTTTGTGAATACTTGAAAGTTGAAAAGCACTTTTTGAGAGTTAAATATGATCCAGAATGCTAGCTTACTTGTAAGAGTTCTTCACAAAACTCCATCCGTTTACATCACAAACATACGAACATCCCTCAGATCGTAGAAGATCAAACCCACAGACCTGAAATTTGAAAAAAATTTTGAAGAAACTAACACGTCATTGCACGAAATCAGAAAGTACCATTATAAGGAAAAAATACAACCCTGCGCAAGACATAACGAGAGCCAGAGGATTGGATTCACAACATACCGCTTGCCTAAATGCAATGCAAACTTCTCTAGCCATTTGCTTTTCGGCAGGTGTAAGCAACACTGGATATCTCACCTGTTCAATGAAATATCCAAAAAAAAAAAAAAATGATCAACATCTAAAACATAAACCTTTTACACCTTCATGAAACATTAGCAATCCATGCTTTCATTTTAATCAGCAGACTTTGATATTCCGTTCAAACTATATAGCTCTTTCTTCATAAAAAAGTGAAGGTATGTCAAATTACATACTTCCTTCCCATCTATATTCCTCATAACAACACCATCAACAACAGGCGACTTCCTTGCTTCAGCATGTGCGTATTCAGGACCCACTGTGTAGACCTGTATTTAGCATGCAGTTTGTCAGTCGAGAACTCATGAACGCCAAAAATTGGCGTAAAATGTTCTGCAGACAAACAAGTGGTCCAAAAGATGGGAATGAGCTAATCGAAAAACATGTATAATAGAAAACCTTGACATCAGTTCCTCCAGTGGCCATAAACTCCTCATATATATAAGAACCCTCTCTCCTTACTCTTCTGACGTCAGGATGAAATTCACTTGATCGGTTCCCAATCTGAAGTGACAAACGAATACAGTAGGCAGAAGAAGAGTTAATTAAGGAATATATGCCACAAATTATTAGAATGAACATTTCAATCCAGAGCTGCCGAAAGATGCAGTACCTTGCGAAACAGTTCCTTCATGCCTCCACCTGCTGAGCTAGGGTAGTATATCATTATACTATGGTCATCTCCTACAAAACGCACAGGTAATTTTATTTTTTAGCAGATAATCAAAAACAAATCTGCATCATATAACAACTAAAAACATCAAAGGAGAAAATAGTCTGGAAGAACCACCCATGTTCATATAAATAATAACTCATCGCACTCTACCAATTTTCAGGTTACTCTATTAGTTACAAGGAGATAAAATATTAAATTAAAACTTCAACAAAATGTGAATTTGTTTACCAAGTATCAGAGAAATAAAGAACACATCGATGATTGTGTTTCAAGCTGAGACTTGTCTTTATGGATAAATAGATATTAAGCTGCCAGACCAATGCATGAAAAAGAGAGCAATATATAGGCAAAAGAGAAGCTCACCATTGACAGGTTTTTCCACAAATGGCTTCCAGAAGCGCTCACCATTAACCTCAACAAAATCTTCTTCCTCGACAAAGTAATCAAGGTCTTGATTTGGTACCTTTCTATTGACACAAGCATACCTAGGAACGGGGATGCCGTACATCTCAAGATGCTGTAGATGCACACAAAAGTTATATTTCTCAGTACAAGGAAAAAGTATGTAACTCTTCTTTGTCCATTAGCCTGAAAACTTAGTGCACAGAACCAGCTTTATTGCAGTCAAATAATGCATACCTCATACACCTTGCGGCGATCATGAAGAAGATACTGCGGATCTAGTTCATTGACTAAAAATGGCCTGAATTAACAGAAGTTCGAAATGTCAACCTCAGAAGCCGGACTCCTATAAGTTTCACCAAACATTAATTTGAGGTACTAAATAAAAGGTAAGAACTCACTTTCTTAAAGCAGCATATGCCTGAGCCTTCTCAAGAGGATATCCAGAGGAATGAAAAGCAATCAAGCAATCACAAATGGGCCAACTGAGACAGAAAATCCTCTGGTCAAGCTTTGATTCCAGTATATACCTTGTACTTGATATATATTAACTACACTTTATCCTAATACACTAATAATGAAACATACAAAACAAGAATATAAAGAAGATACAGGATAGGAAAAAAGCCAAAACAACTAAACTCTATTTGGTACACCATACCTTTCTATTGGATCTTCAAGTATAACTTTATCCCCAAAATGTAAGATCTGCGAATAAAGTTGCAACAAAGGTGTCCATGAGATGAGAAATAAAAGGGGGAAACTAATAAGAATACACCAGAGAATCTATAAAGACAAGCGTCAACAACTTTTCTTTTGGCAAACTAAAATGCCAAAAACTTGGGAATGAAAAAAAAAAAAAACACAAAAGTTACCAAAAAGCATCGTGCATTAACATATACCCAAGAATCATAAATTACAAGTCATCTAATCAAAAGAAATCTCTCTACAGATTAAAGAAGAAACTTATAGGAATACAAAGCAGAAAATATCAAATAAAGCAACATTTGATCTTCAATCAAAAAAAGAACCCGTGAGGAAGCTACCTCAAATTCACCGAAAGACTCCAGTCTGTCCAGAATTTGACCCATGGGAGCTGAGAACACCTACAAAAACCAAAACGAACAATCTGTAAGCGAGAAGAACACTTAGTGAAAAAAAACATTTAGCAGTCGTCATCAAAAAGATAAAGCATCCGAATCTGTTGGTCAGTAGAAGAAAACGCGAAAAACAAGCAGCATAAATAAAAAAGGAAACAGAACCTCGGAGCCGCATTTCACCTTCTTTTCCATGACGCAGACTCCAATCTTTATCTTCCCACCACCACTTGCTCCTCCTTCCACCTCCATTCTCTCTCTCTCTCCACCTTTCTATGTTACCTTTTTCCTTTTCCTATTTCTATGTTCCTCGCTTTTATACGACGACGTATCCTCTCTCTATAAAAAAAAAAAACAGAATCACAAATCAAACAAAATCTCACCAACAGCGACTAAATCTCGTCAGTTTCAAACGAATATGTGATCAGCTCTTTGGAAGGAAAAAAAACTAAAGAAGGAAAATGGATAAAACTGAGACAATTCCGCCATACGAAAAGAGTTGAAGATCTCTCGCAGAAAAGAAGAAGAAGACGACGACGAAGAGAGACTTACCAGTAGTAAAACAATGATGATCACAAGGCAGAGCAATAGCGATAATGCTTTCTGAAGAAGGGAAAAAAAAAATATCGGAAAAGATTTGGGAAATAAAATATATTAAAATATCTAACGGAGCGGTGAAGCACGAGGAGAGAGAGAGAAGAACTGGCCATCCCAATTCAGTCGTCACTGGCTGTTGCGTTAAAATTAATAAAATAAAATATAAAATAAAGAAGAGAGAGCTGCTTTATTTTAATTTCTAGTCAGCATCCCGTGGACCGTCGATGGACCCACAGCTTGACGTTAGATAATTATTGTGGCTGAGGAAAATGATTCTGATTGATGATCATAATATATAACTCTATTAAATGTGATTACAAACTATATCACATTCACAATTTCACAAATAGTGGGATTTTTATGTCCTTATTAGGTTACGATATTATATTTAGTAAAATGAAAAATGCAACAAAAGGAAGAGAAACGATGGAAGGATAAGATCTAGGAATCCAGAATATGCAGTCAGTGAAAAAATGTCATTTAGCTTTTTGGTTGCTTTCTAACTTTTCTTATTCCAAAAAGTTAAAAGGTTCCAACCAAAACACTATAGGTGTCATATCACGTTTCTTAACTACATTTGTGTATTAAATATATATATATATATTACTAACAACTAATTCCGTAATTCGTTAATTTGGTCTTAGGTGTGATTTTGATATGTAACATATTTTACTCTCAATGTTATTTAAGTTAGGTTATGTTTTTATTTTGCAGTGTGAATTTCACTACTATTACAACCAAAAATATTTTTGGGAATCTATTTACAAACACTTCTTAATTTTTTATAAAAAAATTCCCAAACATGTATTAAACATGTAGCCAAAGAAATATTAAATTTGAACTGATAAATAGTAAACCGAAGTAAACCGTATTTGTGTATAGCTTCATTCTAAACTATGACTTTATGTGTATACACGTTTCGAACATTCACATTGGAATTTGATATGTTATGAACTAATTAAACTAAGAAAGAAACTTAAAATTTTTAATTCTTCTCCATGAAGTTGTTTGACGTTTAACTATCGTTTCTCAATACCTGTAAACGAAAAATCAAGAACATAATTAGATTTTAAGAAAATATTTAAAGTTGGAAAGAAAAACTAAAGATAAAACTTGTTAGAGAGTAGTACTCAAAGGAGAAGTTGTGTACCGAGTGAAGAAGGAACGATGAATTGAAGATGTGCATTGTAGCGTTATTTGGAGGAAGATGCAATTGAAGAGGACAAAGCTTCTCAGTCAAAGGATTTCTAGAGCAAACCATAACATCTTCGATCCCTGTTTCTTCCTCTAGTTTCTTCTTTAATTCTGTCAACTCGCTTCCATGGAATATCAATGATTTTTTCCCTCTATCGTTATTTATGTTCCCACAATCATCTCCGATCTCATAATATATCAGTCTTCCTTCGGATTTTAGTGGTAAAGTTACAGTAAATGAATCACCTGACTGATTTCGTATTTAACATCAACAAAATAAAATGTAAAATACTTCTAAAATAAAATGAGATATGTACATCGTGATTATCATTCATCACTCTAACAAACAAATATTGAATCTACCCAAAAAAAAAAAAATATTAACTAAAAAGATCATGCATTTCATGATAACTTTTGAGAAATTAAAAAGGTTCGTACGTAGATGTTTGTCCAAATAACAGTATTTCCAGAAGAATAGTTATATTGGTATCTCTCTATATAGTACCTGGATCCGTGAAAATGTGGAAGAAGTATGGGAAGAATCAGAATCATCTTCGATAACTCGAATTTGGAGAACATCAACACTCCACAAGATCCAATCTTGGGTGACCGTACGTACGGCTAGGAATATCGTGTGTGATAGAGTTTCTCCAAGGTGGTAAACCTTTGTTTGCTCTCAGATATTCTCCGTACCGACTCTTGAACCTTACATGTATACCATTGTCCGATTAATATTGGCTCCCACTCGGCCGATGAATCCAACTTTTCCGGTAAGGTTTGAAGTACCTTGTTTCACAAGTTATTATGAAGCACACATATGTAGATTGTTTAGCAAGAAACTAACCTAATAATGTTTTGAAGGATCTGATTGTTTTTTTTTCTGGGTACTCGTATAGAACAATGGCTCCTATTGGGTGATATCATGGGTAACCTAAATGTTTTTCAAGAAACCCTAAAAGCCTAATTTGATAGAGGTGATATCTTGGGTAACAAGAAACCTTTTAATTTTACCTTTTTACCGGTGGCTCCAAGGAGGAAATGAATATTAGTGGCGGTAAGGTATTTGCCGTAACAGCTTTGAAGACGGATGACATTGGATCCGGGAATGATCTCAACCGTCCATCTGGTGTTTTTAGTTGTGCCGCGACGGTCCTGATGAACGGATTCTTGATCTTCATCGGCGATTACGTTTTTCTCGTTGTGGCTACGGAGCCGTACAATCGCTGCTTTTTTAAATATCTCCATCCCCGCGACTTACATTACATGACAAGAAAAAATTCTTGTAAAAAGGGAAAGATAAACAAATTTAGTTTGGAGACAAAATGGGATCTAAAAGCTATTTTTGTTCTTTCTTTGACGACGGTTTTCAGTGACGCGATTTTGATGTTTGAAAATTGAGATAACTAAGTTTTGACTGCAAAGTTTTGCATAATCTCGTAATTCTTGTTGCGTTCTTCAAACAAGAGATTTGCCTTTCGTTACTTGGGTTAGATAATCCCTAATCCTCGTCATTTTCTCAATTAGGTATTGTTTTTTGTTTCTTCAGCGAACCTACCCAAGGTATTCAATAATCAATACTATTCTTAACGAATCACCATAAGAATCGTTTTGTTTTTGGCTTAATTTGTGTCCATGTATCTTGTTATTCACTGGTTCTATCATTGTTAACGATTGGATATGGCTTTTTTTGAAACAATGCACGCCGCTTCCTAATATGTTTCTCACTTTACGTTAAGTCGTTTTATTTTATTCATACCTCAGATATGATTTTTTAATTGTGATTTATCCATAGTCGACTAATTATTCAGCTTCTGAAACACAATCGCATTCTGCTCAGAGATATGAATTTCTTCTCACTGATTCTATACAAGAATCTCCGAAGTCTGACATGTGAATTTTTCATAAAATCATCATTGCAGAAAACAACAAAAATTACCAGAAGAAAACTGAATATGTTGAGATCAGAGTTTGGTTAAGAAATTCTCGGTCACGGTTAATCAGAAACACGGACCAATTTGTTGCTCATCATATCTCTTGTTTCTTATCCTTAATCAAAACAACACAAAGATCACAAAACAAGAACACTACTAAATTAAGTAGCTACTCTGAAACCGGATCGAAGAACAGGACAGAGCAAAAGGGGGATAAACGATTTCGATCATCAGAGACTTAAATACTAAGAATCATGAAGATTTTCTCCATCATATTGTTGCAGTATTATCTCATCATCTGATCTAATTTTCGTCAGAAAAACTCAGAGAGGGATCAAGAATCGAAATCCTAAACACTACATGTTTTTTTTAAAATTTAAAAAAAAAAACAGAATAGAGAAGACTGAATTGAGTTGTGTCGAGGTAGATGACGGCTAAAAGCTTTAGATGGTTCTTCGTATATATATATGGAGGTCTCCAACGGCGATTCTCAAGTTTAACGAGGAAACCCTAGAGTGGTTTTATATGGGCTTTTTAGAAGGCCTACTATAAATACCTCCATTGCCCATTAAAACCCCAAATAACACCTCAGCTTGTGTCCAATTTCATATATTAAGCGATTAAAAGAAATCAACCCAACGTCCCCAACCGAACATACTAAATTCAATTCATTATAGATCACAGAGCTACTGTTCCTTCATATCAATTATGTTTTAATATATATCGGGAAATGTAAATAGGTGTACAAATTTTCATTTTAGGGTTTTGATCTCAATCAAATTTTTGGTTTTTTTTTTTTTTTTTTGTCAAAATGCATCTCGCAGTCAAGTTTAGTAAACTAAAAATATTTAACAAAAAAATTCATAAAAAAACTCTACATCTATTTAAAGACAATATTATCTCTTTTCGGATCAGTTTAAACTTTAGATCTGAATATCTCAATTACTACAGCCTAAAAATCTCACAAAATATAAACAAGGCGTTCTATATACAAAAACGGCTTAATATAGTATGTTTGTAATAAATCCAAAACCAGATAAAATCTAAATTTAAAATCAGCTAATTTTGTCTATCTCGTCTTAAAAAAAATACAGAGAACACTTAAAACTTCCAAAAAGTTAAACACTTTTCATTAGCTCGATACCTACAACAACATTTTAGTTTAAAATAAGTTTGATATCAACAAATTTTTCATAACAAGTTTTCTCTATAATGACAACACTACAAAGATCAGCGGTTTCATTTCGACGTCAAGGTTCTTCAGGTCGTATATGGAGTGATCAATTCATTTTAGATCCAACAAATGAAGCAATTTTCCAAAATAAAGAACAAACAAATCAACAATCCAGAAGAAATAGTAATGATCCTGAAGATAACATTCAAATTCAGAAATCAAGTTCTTCGTTTTCTTCTTCACCACCTCCATATTTTTCTGAAGTACGTCGAAGACAAGATATTTCATCTTCTGCACGAGATAAACCCGGATGTAGTTTATCGTCATTTTTTCGAAAATGTATTGGTTCTTCAGCTCATGCATAATTATCTTTTTATTGTCTGTTTGACACATTTTTGTATATATATATAAGTTTTGTTACATAAAATCATCACAAATATTTTATTTCTTGTGAAAACCATTTTTAACATGTTTTTCATATTGCAGATTTTTGATTTTTGTTTTTTTTACTTCTAGCGCTAATCAATCAAAATTTCAGCATTCTTATATATTAAATATAAATATTTGGTGTTATTATGCCAAATAAATACAAAGCATTTCAAATTTAATCCATACTGATTTCTACCGAGATCTAAGAAAGCATATTGGATCAATGATTCAGATTTATTTGAATACATTCTAAATTCTGAAGATAATTCAAAAATTCGATGATTTAGGAAGGCATAGTAGATCAATGATTTGAATTTATTCGAACAACTTTACTAAAAATATAAGGAGGATACATAAAAACATACACAATAACAATAAAATTGTTACAAATCAAATCAAATAGTATGTAGAGGGGCCATCAGGGCCCAAAATAAATTTGTCTTTTCGGCCCAAATGTAAACATAATAAAACTAGTGTATTTACTAATTTACCAGTAGCAGCAAACACACAGAAGAAAGTGAAAACGTCGAACCCAAAATGCAAATCCTTCTCCGCTTTTTTCTTCTCCATATTCGAAAATTCTCCGCGTCCTTGCAGCAACTCCTTTGAAATTCGCTGTCTCCTTCATTCGTTGGCGAGTGTGCGTTCTAGCTCTCGTCTCTTATCATCGCAATTCATCTTCAGTCTTGCCTGTAAACCGAATAATTTGGAGTTTCGCCGGAATTTCATCTGCATATGTAGTATGTATGATTGTCGATGATCAAAGTACTTCTTCCTGATTGTGTTCTCGTTTCAGATATCTGAGTACATAATTTCATCTCCTATCAAGAGTGCCAAAAAGTAGGTCTCAGAAGCTTCGCCGGGAATTTGTTTTGCTCGTTTCTCTAATGATTTTTTTTTTGTTTCTTTTTTGTTGAGAATTTGAACTCCCTCATCCCTTTTACCAGCTTCAGATCGATAATTCTATGATGGTTCATGAAAAATTGATGTTTTGCAGCAATGAAGCGGATAAGAGATGATCTGTACGCCTCTGGGTCGCAGTTTCAACGTCCTTTGGGCCCCTCTCGAGGCGAAATGTGAGTTTCTTTAAGGTCACTTCAAAATCAACCCTCTAGCTATGCGAATTTCTTCTGCAGCCTTGACAGAAGTTTTCAATTTTTGACTTCGATTTCCTTCTAAGCCTTTTGTTCTTTTAGGTATATGTAATGTAAGCCTTTCATGGTTCCCTATCGTCCTGTTGATTCGGTTAACCTGTGTTGTTTATTAACTAATCTTTTGTGATTTTACTTTTGTGAATTCGAGATCCCGCTAGTGATCGTCCTGTTTATTAAACTCGTTATACAAGGCATCATCTTTTTTTAATCATAATGAAATTATAGTGTGGGATCTCCTTTTACTTGGAAAACTATTCTTGGTTTTTCATCTGGTGCGATGGGTTGACTTGGTTCTGTTGAATTTTGCATGGAGAGTGAATTTTTTTTGTTGTTGCTAGGAACAACTTATGATTTGAGTAATTTGTAAGAGATTGATTGGTGTAGATATGGACAATCTCCGCGACCCGGCATTGGTGACGCCGGAGAAGGTAGAGTAGGAGAGGGAGGGAGAACAGTTGGTGGGGAAATGAGCTCTCAGAAATTAACAACCAATGATGCGTTGTCGTACCTTAAGGAAGTAAAGGAGATGTTTCAAGATCAACGAGAGAAATATGATAGGTTCCTTGCGGTTATGAAAGATTTTAAGGCTCAAAGGTAAGGTCTTTGACTTCCTTTCAGGTTGATATTTTGAGTTCTGAGTTAGTGAATTAACAGGCGGCGTCGAATTAATTCTCCCTCTTGTATTTGCAGGACCGACACGGGCGGTGTGATTGCACGAGTTAAAGAATTGTTTAAGGGACACAACAATTTAATATATGGATTTAATACCTTTTTGCCAAAGGGATATGAAATCACGCTTATTGAGGAAGACGAAGCTCTGCCAAAAAAGACTGTTGAATTTGAAGAAGCCATCAATTTTGTGAATAAAATTAAGGTGCTGTCAGAAGTTTGCTCTTATTGTTTTTGTGAAGTGTCCTAACACTTAGTGTTTCAATGTACGAGTTTCTTCATTGCCACTGCAGATGCGGTTCAAGCACGATGAACATGTCTATAAATCTTTCTTGGATATCTTGAATATGTACCGAAAGGAGAACAAGGAAATTAGTGAGGTTTATTATGAGGTAATTGACTTCATCTCTTCTGTGATTCCACTTCAAATTTCTGTTGAACATTTTCTAACGCTGGAATATATGTGCTTTAGGTATCTATTCTTTTTGAGGGTCACTCGGATTTGCTTGAGGAGTTTACTCGGTTTTTGCCAGCGTCTTTGCCGTCTCATTCAGCAGCGCAGTATAGCCGGAGTCAGGCCCAACGGTACAATGACCGAGGATCAGGCCTTCCTCTAATTCGCCAAATGCATGTGAAGAAGGTATGCTAGTGGTTCCATATATTTATCTGTTCTATTTTGTTTGTCCGGTATCTCAATCTTGTGCCTCATATATCTTTTTGTCACCAGGAACGACGACGAGAAAGGGCTGTTGCTTCCCGCGGTGATTATAGTGTTGATCGCTATGACCTTAATGATAATAAGACGATGGTAAAGATGCAAAGAGAGAAGCGGAAGCGTGCTGATAAGGAGAACAGGGTAAGGAGAGGCCGTGATTTGGACGATAGAGAAGCAGAGCAAGATAACCTACACCGTTTTCCAGAGAAAAGAAAGTCACCCAGAAGAGCAGAAGGTCTTGAAGCATATTCTGGTTCTGCTTCGCATTCTGAGAAAGACAGTTTGAAAAGTAAGCCAACTCCGGTGAAACATTTGCTTGGTCCCTTTTATATGTTCCAGGGTCCTGGGCAGTGGACACCTGAAATCTTTCTCTTTAAAAGAGAATGTATTTTCCAATTTTGGCAGCCTCGTGCTTTTTATGGGAATAATAATCTGTTTATGTTTTCTAAGATGTGTGCATTCTTTGTGCTAGGCATGTACAACCAAGCATTTGTTTTTTGTGAGAAAGTCAAGGAGAGATTATGCAGCCAAGATGATTATCAGACATTCTTGAAGTGCCTTAATATTTTCAGCAATGGAATAATCCAAAGAAAGGATCTTCAGAATTTGGTACCGCGAATTGCTTCGGTTTTGTGATTAGGGGGTTGATCAGGTGGTAACTTTCGGGAACTTGTATGAATTTCCATTCATTTTCTTTCAGGTTTCTGATCTTCTAGGGAAATTCTCTGACCTCATGGATGAGTTCAATCAGTTCTTTGAGCGCTGTGAGAGTATTGGTAATCCAAATACCTACTGTGATACTAATAGTTATAAGCATCTTCTTTCTTCTGACTGTCATCCTTTATTGCAGATGGATTTCAGCACCTTGCTGGTGTTATGAGCAAAAGTATGCTGCCATTATAAACTCCTCTGTTATGAATAATATTGTTGATTGCCTTCCTACTTTGTAATATTATTACTGACATTGCTGGAACACATACTGCAGAATCATTTAGCAGCGAAGAACAATTATCCCGGTCTACGAAGGTGGACGAAAAAGAAACAGAACATAAATCTGACCTTGAGGCTGTTAAGGAAACAGAGAAATACAAGGAGGAGTACATGGGAAAATCTATTCAAGAGCTCGATCTATCTGATTGCGAATGTTGCACTCCCAGCTACCGGCTCCTGCCTCCAAACGTAGTTGGATATTTTATTTCCAAGTTGTCTTTTGAGCATGTTCATTATATGATTACTTAATCTTATAATCTTATTTGCAGTATCCGATACCAACAGCGAGTCAGAAATCGAAGCTAGGAGCTGAGGTTTTAAATGATCACTGGGTTTCTGTCACTTCAGGGAGTGAAGATTATTCTTTTAAGCACATGCGCAGAAATCAATATGAAGAAAGCTTGTTCAGATGTGAAGATGATAGGTATATTACACATATATATATCTTTGACAATATACATTCTGTAGTTTGATGTAGTTGGTATCATAAGTTAATTTACTGCTTATAACAGATTTGAATTGGACATGCTCCTGGAATCTGTGTGCTCTGCGGCCAGAAGTGCAGAAAATTTGTTGAACATCATCATAGAGAAGAAAATAACTTTTTCTGGATCCTTCAGGATCAAAGACCACTTCACGGGTCTGTATGCTTTTTTGGGACCTGTAGTTCGTGGTTATATCTTTTCTCTCTTCCCCTATTTTGGAGCCCCCCATATGTTTACCTTTGCCATTTTCTTATTGACATTTTTGCAGCCCTGAATTTAAGATGTATTGAGCGACTTTATGGCGACCATGGTCTTGACGTGATAGACGTTTTACATAAGAATCCAGCCACTGCACTTCCTGTAATCTTAACTCGTTTGAAGCAGAAACAAGATGAATGGAAGAAATGCCGAGAAGATTTTGATAAGGTCTGGGCAAAGGTATATGCAAAAAACCATTACAAATCACTTGATCACCGCAGCTTCTACTTCAAGCAACAAGATTCAAAGAACTTGTGTGCAAAACGTAAGTAGACTCTTTGGACATTGTCAAGTTTTAAGCAAACCTATTGTTTTCATTCTTCTGGCAGTGCTTCATTTTTGCTTTCGCTTTTTCCGTTCTCATTGCTTTCCGTTTCTTAATTTGTTTGGTGAATTAGCATTGGTGGCTGAAATTAAGGAGCTGAAAGAGAAGTTTCAGAATGAGGATGATATTCTGCTGTCTATTTCTGCTGGTTACAGACAACCCATAAACCCTAATCTCGACTATGAGTATTGTAACAGAGCCATTCATGAAGACCTGTACAAACTAGTCCAGTTTTCATGCGAGGAGTTATGTTCTACAAAGGAACAGCTCAGTAAAGTTCTGAGGCTTTGGGAAAGTTTTCTTGAGGCAGTGCTGGGCGTTCCTCCCAGGGCCAAAGGCATAGATCTTGTTGAAGAGGTTGTTATTAAAACCAGGACTCTTGATGTGAATCACAGGACATCTACTAATGGGGAGGCTACTGTGAATTGTGGAATAGACACATCAAAGTTGGCTTCTAGGAAACTAAAATCTGCTGCCAACGGAGATGAGAATGCGTCCTCTGGGGCTTCCAAACATGCTAGGATTGGTTTGCTAAATAAGGATTCGATAGGGAAAGAAAGTCTTAAAGATGCTGATATAGCCAACCGAGATGGTATTACCTGTTCTGCTGTGATTCACCAGAAAGGACATGAGACGGGAAATGGAGCCGATAAAAGATCTGAAATGCCTATCCCAGTGGATATTAGCGAAAGAGCAGCGACCTCGAGTTTATCAATCGCAAGTGAGGGAGAAAACAATCATGGTGTCGTAGGAAAGGAAGATTTGGAAGGTATTTTCCAAATGTAAACTTCTGTTATTATTTCTGCTGCTTATCTATTTGTGTTGATATTTGTTACTTTTACGATCAAGGTTCAGATGAGATTCAAGCCAAACCAAACAACACTCTCAGTAATATTCACCATGGCGTAGATAGCATTGAAACTTCTCTTTCGACCCAGGTACTACTTTCAATTGCTCGTTGTAACATATTTGTATACTCACCTATCCCACTATCGCCCAGACGTTTCCATGGCTTAGGGATGTACTACCTATGGGAATAAAGTAGAAATGTGTTTTATTTTAATATATTGTGCTTTTTCTTGACCCTTCTGACCATGTTTAACGGTCCTTTTCATTTTACAAGGGAGGTGATGTTGGTTTAGTTTTGGCAAATGGAATAAAGTCAGATTCTTCTAAAGATAATAGGAATTCTTATGAACCCGAAGGTCCATCCACAATTGAGAAGGAGGAAGGTGAACTGTCACCTAATGGGGATTTCGAAGACAACTTTGGTGCTTATAAAGATCTTGTGGTGAAGTCTACATCCAAACCAGAGAATTCAGCAGATGCTGAAGTAGAGAATGAGGATGATGGTAGTGAAAATGCTTTAGAGGGTGGTGAGGATGCATCTGGAACCGAATCTGGTGGTGACGAATGTTCACTTGATGAAAACAGAGAGGAGGAAGATGGTGAGCATGATGAGATGGATGGTAAAGCTGAGAGTGACGGAGAAGCAGAGGGAATTGATTCACATCTCATAGAAGGAGACAGTGAGTTGCTTCCGCAGTCAGAGCGTGATCTCGTGTCTGTCAGACCTCTTTCAAAGCATGTAGCAGCGGTTTTACGCGACGAGAGGACAAAAGATTTCAGAGTTTTCTATGGGAATGACGACTTTTATGTTCTTTTTAGGCTTCACCAAGTGAGTGCATCGTTTCATATATGATCTCTTGCACCAAGTTTTTTGACCGAAATTTCTCGTCTCTAGCAAAAATAATGAAGTGCATTCCAGATTTTGTACGAGAGAATTTTCTCTGCCAAAAGGAATTGCTCAGGCGGTGAACTGAAATCAAAAACCTCAGAGGATACCGATTCCCTAGACCCTTATGCCAGGTACCTTCCTTTGTACAAACATACCAGCCTATATAATACATTTATTTCTCTAATCTGATCTGTATGTTGGACAGGTTTATGAGGGTTTTGTATGGTGTGCTTGATGGATCAATTGAAAATACAAAGTTTGAGGATGAGTGCAGAGCTATTATAGGAAATCAGTCATATGTGTTATTTACGTTGGACAAACTGATATACAAATTGGTTAAACAGGTTTTACTGGAACTATTGGTTTAAGACTAATGCTTTTTTTTTTTACTTTGTCGACTCACTACGTTACATTCCTTGTGATGTTCTGATTTTATTTATCATCTGCAGCTTCAAGCTATTGTAGCGGATGACATGGACAACAAGCTGCTTCAGTTGTATGAGTATGAGAAATCTCGGAAACCCGGAAGGATTATAGACTCGGTGTATTATGAAAATGCCAGGGTCCTCCTTCACGAGGAAAATATTTACCGATTTGAATGTGTATGAACCCTTGTGGCTTCCGTCGTCTCTCCTGGTCTTGATACATGATCAACTGGAACTTAATTCCTTTTTTTTTTTTTTCACATGCAGTCATCTTCGTCATCTCGCTCATCTATCCAGCTTATGGATAACATAATTGAAAAGCCGGAAGCGCATGCAGTTTCTATGGATCCCACGTTTGCAAGTTATTTGCAAACTGACTTTCTTTCCACCTCATCAGGAAAAAAAGAGGAGGGACATGACATTGTGTTACAAAGGTATCTTACACAAATATTTTAATGTTCAAAATTTTCATTCTTTTATCTGCTTCTTTAGGCTTTTGCATAAACCTCTACGTCCATTTAAAAATTGCGCTAATTTTTTTCTTTTGCTAAGATCATTTGGTAGATTCTCTCTCTTTGACACTCACGTTATTATTTATATATAGGTTTGTTCTTTCTTTATCATCTACTGGAATTGGTCCAGGATACAATCTGGGATGATATTTGAGTTATTAAACCAAATTCCTTTTGGCCATTTTTGATAGGAACCTGCGTCCATATACCGGCTTGTATGATCTTGCAGCACTCTGTAAAGCCATGGAAGGTGTTGAAGCAGTAAATGGCTTGGAATGCAAGATGTCTTGCTCTTCTTACAAGGTAAAACAATCTTCAGTCTCAGAAATCTCGACCCAGTTCACTTCTACCGATTTTAACCATTGTAGCTTTCTATATGCAAAATATTCTTCTACTCTACTCAATATATGCATCTCTTGTAGGTCTCGTACGTCTTGGATACAGAGGATTTCTTCCACAGGAAGAAGAAGAAAAAGAAGACCAAACACTTACTGCAATCTAACAAAGATAGAGTAGAAAGGTTCCACAGGTTTCTCTCAGCTTCAAGATGACAACAACGAAGCTTCCTCTTGGGTTTTCTTCTTTCTTTAACTCCACAAACACACAAGAAAAAAGGTAAGACCGAGAAAAGTCACACAAGTTAAGTTCTGTAAGACTGTAACTATTCCCAACGTTGGTTTTCATTTTTTTTTTCCAGATTATAAGATGAGATTTAGATAGATGCACAAAGTGGGGAAGAAAGCCATAAGAAGAAGAACAATACTGTTACTATGTGTGTATCTTGTATTGGTGTTTGGTGTTAAGTCTGTTACTGTTAGTGTGTGTAGTGTGTACTCTTGAAGAGATTGTTGTTGTAAATATGGGGAAACGCTTGGAGATGTGGTCTCGCCCTTCTTTTCTCATATAATAAAAAATCATTCTATGGGCCTGTTCTTTTCTTTGCCGCTGCGGCTGCCACTGCGACAACGGAAAATAGTTACAATGAAGACAACAATTTGCCGCTGAATGACCGCAGGTGCTGTTGAAGTTGATCGCAGGTGTGCTCGCGACGTCTCTCGGTGGCCGCTGGAATTCCCAGCGTCACCTTTTTAGATAAAGCGGTCACTACAGTGGCATCTCCTTTCTCTGACAGCACCTTCATTATCGTCGTTTTGTTTTCTTATTTGTTACGGCCACCGTCGTTTTATTCTGTCGCAGCCGCAGCGACAAAGAGAAGAACAGACCCTATATCACAAGTCTTCCATAATGACTAGAGGGTAAAAAAAATATGGTATTTGAAATACCGATTATGGGGAACACTTTCAGTTTTGGTACGTAGCCTTTGGAATTAAATACAACATTATGTCTGGAGCCAGCAGTTTAGTGATAAATTGGAGATAAACTAAAAAAACCAATATTGCATTTTACATTTTTAACGACTCTTTCAATGGTTTACTTGTGACACAAGGCCAACCATTGAAAGAGAGATTTGGTTTTACGAAAGACAATTTCTCTTTAAGAAGTGAAGAAAACGTATGATACCAAAATCAAAAGGAATAAACATTTATATTAAGTTCAGGAGGGAAAACGAATTCGAATCCGGATGGAACGAACGAGTCCACTTAGACCAAAGTCACTCGGCAAAAAAAGGCTCCGAAATGTTTATTTCCGATCAAGCTCTGCATACCATGCTTTCCATGCCTCCTTGTAATGACCAAAAAGATCATTTAATTCTGTTTAAACAACCAGAACCAAAACTCAGTTAAGTTTGCAAAAAATGCCCAGTTAAGTCTGTTTAATCTCACAGAAGCTAAACAGAATTAAGAATGCAGGATCTTATATAACACGCTTCAGTTAAGATTTGAGTGTGGTTGTTACCTTGATTACAATACTGTGGTCTGTAGGTAGAAGCAAGGGCCTCGAGATCTTGTAACCTTAAGTTATTGTTGGTTCCGACATTGCTCTTGCTCTTAGATGCACATGTTGGTGAGAATGGGCCAAACACATAGCTCTTTGCAGCTGGTTTCGTTTCTTGCTCAGTGTCTTCCTCATCATATTTCTTATATCCAATTTGCTTGTGGTTTGATGAACAATCTGTTTTGTTTCTCTTTGTTGTCAAATTTAAGTTTGTGAGATCTCTTCCAAATACCCGCTTCTTCGGTTCACTGGATTTAAAGAAGCTTGATCCTTTTTCAATTATGCTTTTGGACCCCAACCACTTATATGCTGGTTTCCTAGTCCCTGGTATATGAGTCTGTGGGGAAAAACCGAATACTTTTGTCTGTAAATACTGCATATTTGATTCCATCCATAAATCTAGAAACATTGAAAATTTGTAAGTTCAGGTTTAATGTATTGGTGAGCAAATCTCTTACCTTCTCGATTAAATCCATCGAGGAAAACACATTTGCAATGTCGTAAAGTCGTCTAACTTTAGCTGTTGATCATATACAGAAATTGAGTTGGTTAATGTTACTATATGGTTGGTAAGATCAGAAAATGGAGATCTAAAACAGGAAACAGAGATTTACTTCTCATATGCATTGGATCTTGAGAGTCGCTCAGCAAGACTTTTGCAGCACTATCCAGTGTGATGAGATCATCCTGAAGAGAAGGCAGCAGACACAGGGCGTGAGCTGTTTACATGAGGGCTTCGAAAAGTTGTTGTAAGAAGCCAAAGAGAGACAGTAAGTCAAGATATTCACTTACCCGAGAGCAAAGAAACATCTTCACAAAGTTCTGCGAGAGAAGCCAGAGAGATTTCTCCTTCTTGTGGTCTGAAAAGAAAATAGCAATGTGAGTTAGCTCCTAAACACGAATTTTATAATGGGAAATTTTATAAAGTGCCACTTGCGCAATACAGAATCATTTGCTTGTAGATTGAAATCCCAAAAGTGATTAGCAATTACAAGAAATGTGGTTTTATCTGCTAGAAAGAAGATGCAGATTGATAATATTCCAACATAACAAAGCACTAGCTAGAAAGAGAAGATTACCCATTTTAGAGAGTGATGACTCGTCAGGTGTTAAACTGAAAGATTCTTCTCTTTCATCATCATTTGAGACCTATTACGAAGAATTGCGTTAGATCAGAAGAACTAAAGAGCCAAGATGAGCACGAAATTGTTGAGAACGACCACAGAGTCACAGGTAATCAATCCAACGATCACATACACTTTGAGAATTAAGTTCCTAACCAATAATGGGATCTACTTAAAAAAAAAAAAAGGTATATATAGAATATTATGATCTTATTATACCTTGTCTGAGTTGCTGACACTTGAGATACCAGACCTCTCTCTCATTCCTTCATCCTGTAAACAAGATAAACAAAAGAAAAGACTAGTTCTCCGAAATCAGATACTGTTTATGAGACTTTTTCCAAGTACCTTGAGCTCATCTAGAGACCGAGGAACCTCTCCAAAACCTTTCCACGAGTATTTATTCTTCCCTTTTCTTGCCACAACCTGAGAATCACCACAACAATCGAAGTTTTGTGGAATGTGAAATGAGCAAACTCAGAAAAGAAAAAAAAAAAAGAAAAAGAATTTTACCCCAATGCTCTCCAATATATTCACCACATCATATATACGCCGACGTTCAACGCCTGAGAAACCGATGATGAGCGTAATCAATAAACAAATTTTTCTTCTTTGAATAGATCACTCCATCTTCTGACTAAAAAACAAAAATTAGGGAGGAAGAATCACCTAGTTTACCAGCGGCATCATCGAGCCCAATCAAATCATCATCGTCTCGGTTATATAGTCTCAAGAAACTGGATCCGTACCCAAGACATAAATTTAAATCCAAAAGAAAAAAAAAAAAAAAAATGAGGTGGGAATCTCGAGAAACCATAAATTCGTGAGAGAGAGAGATGTATACTTGGAGACTAGAACCCCTAGAGATTTCTCCTTGCGGCTATAAGATTGCAGACCGAGAGAATCCACATCTTCAGCAACACTCGAAGACATTTTTTCCCCAGAGAAAAAAAACACAAATATTATGAGATTTTGGGGATCTCTCAGAGATGACTTACTTTGCCCAAAGGAAGCGAAGCGGGGGAAGATTTCGAATTTATGAAATATAAGCGGTTCATCGCTTCTGCTTGTTTATCATCCTCAATTACTAAAATACCCTTTATCCTATTACTATCAACGGAGTTGCTAAAGGCTAATATTGTCAATAGATGCCGAGCCGGGGATTTTTTTTATTATTTTTTTGTTAACATCTGTCATTATTTATATAAACTTAAAAACATACATACGTACAAAATAAATAAAATAGTAAATTACAAGGCTATAAAATAAATTACAGAAATTCATGTACGAGCAAATTCTGTTTATAGAGACAGAGTTGAACCAGCACATCCGAACTGGTGAGTGGTGACTCAGAAGTAGATGGAAATTTAATTGAAATGAAACTTCTTAATGTCTGATTACAAAATTTAAAATACATATTTTTTCTGAAAAACGTATAGAGAGAAAACAAGTAACAAGTCCCTAGAAAATGAAAAATGTAAAAAGAAACCACATTTGACGATATTAACACAAAATAAAAGACAGTAAAATCTATGGGTCAAGGACAGTGACTTGTTCCCACTCTCCATCCACAGCCTCTTTCCAGACCGTAACGTTATTGTTCCCATCGGAAACAGCCAGCAAGTTACCGGTCAACGACCACGAGACCCGCCAAACCGGTGTCTTGAAATCTTTCAAAACCTTACCTTCCCATTGCTCACCTTCTTTCCCGATTGTCCATATGATCACTTTCCCATCTTCTGAACCACTGGCTATCGTTGACTTTGGGAGGCCTAAGTTGGGCGCCCAAGCCACGTCCCTGACCCAATCCGTGTGCTTGTCAAGGGCCGGGAAACAATCCATTTTCCACGACCCGTTGGCGAATCTCCACACTTTTACCTTACTATCACACCCGCCCGATGCTAATTTGTAAACCGGTTCTTGCATGCCCGAGCTAACGAGAGCGCCTGGTTCTGTGGCTGGTGCCCAAGAGACAGAAGTGACTCCAACCGGGTGTGCTTGGTCTATCTTTGTCGTGTCCCAACCGCCATCGGCTCTAGCTGAGAAAACCGATATGTTTCCGTCGGATGCTCCACAGGCTAAGGAGAGACCGAGCTCATGGGGAGCCCAAGCGATAGAGTTTACTGATACTTTGTGGTCTGTGAAGACATGAGCCAGTGTCCATTCGTTTTGGTTACCTTCTTTCCATATTATGATTTGGCCATCATAGGAACACGAAGCGAGGAGAGAACCAAACTTTGGGTGCGCCCAAGCGACTTGCCAGACCGGACCTCGGTGACCGGTTAAGGTGGCTAGCTGCTGAGATCCGCCACTGTTGCTTACTCCGGTTATCTTGATAGTACAGTCTGATGAAGCAGTTGCTACTCGCTTTCCATAGTAATCCATGACCACATCGTGGACAATGTCGCTGTGACCCGTTTCGATCTTCTGGGGAGGCATGTTTTCCTGAATGCTTTACCTGTTGTTATATGTGGATTCATCAGGCATGTTTCCGTAACGCACACAACAAAATGATAACAATAGAATGGCCTTTAAGCTTCAATAAGGATAATATAGAAACACAACTATGCAATTCATATCGTATATTAATCCAAGCAAAGCTAAGAATCCTTTTCATTCCGATCAGATTTTCAGATGATACAATACAAACAAACAAAAAATGATTACTAAGCATAGCAATCAACTAATTATCACAGCCGAGACATGTAATAAAGCACACGGATGATCTGCGTGAACAAGAAAAGAGAAAAAAGCTTGTTTTATAGTCATAGACAGAGGAGAAAGCATGAATCAATCTACTTAGTGAATGACGCGTTTAACCAACACACAATCACCATAGAGTCCCATTCAACATCGCAATGGCTAAATCATACTCAAGTTCCGGAAGATAAAGATATAGCACACTAGTCAAAGTAAATTCCAACAAGATTAAAAAGGGAAGTCGAAATCGTAAAATTCCACACATAACCAAGCTCGATCTAAGATAAATCTTGGGAAGATCAAACTGAACTGAGTTTCCAGAAACATCGGGGAAAACTTAGATTGATAAGGGAATTAAAAGGAGGAAATATGAACCTGGTAACGGAGTTTTCTTCTTTGTCCAAACTCAGATCTGCCTATAGGAGGAGACGAGCAAGCGAGCGGGCGAGAAAAACGCAAAAGTAAACAATCGAAGAAGAGAACAATGTCTTTCTTTACTACCGATTCTACCCCTTCGAAATGACAATAGTACCACCACGAATTACTCGAATTTACGGAAGTTCACCAAATACAGTCATAAATAATTAAATACACCTACGTTTGGAGGTTAAAATTTTTTTTAAAAAGTAAATAGTATTTATGAAGATTAATGGAGTAATTTTATTTTATTTTATTTCCAAAAATTGTAGTCGTCGCGATTTTCCCATTTCAAGGAACGACGTCGTTTTTCGTTCTATAACGATTTCTTCGCGGTTATCTCGAATAAACGACAGCGTTTTCGATTCTCTGTCTGTTTTTTTTTTTTTTTTTCGATTCGATCCTATGTCTGATATCAACCACTTATGCAATAATGTTTTAAAATTTTATATTTTTCATAAACAATATTATGGTCATCTTCTAACAAATCTATTCATAAAATTTGTTACAAACCCCGAAGCTTTCCTATGTCATTATCGATTGAAATTGATGTACCCCATTTAAGTTTATTAGATATATTTATAGAAGAATCTAGTTTATGCGTATGTCGACATTAATGTATATGTAATGTCAAAAAAAAAATTGTATATGTAAGTCCAAATTATATGGTTAAAAACTAAGAAAGTTTAGTGTTTTTACACTGTTGTCTTTTGGTATTATTCTTAAGAATTTTATCTGGAAACTGGTTTGAAAGGTAGCACAAGATGTTAAAATGTCAGACGAATACCAAACATTACCATATAATACTTATATATTGAAGTCTAAATGATATCATAGAAAAAGAAAACAAAAAGTATAAATCTTTAGCAGGGTAATGTTTTGGTCATATATAAATACTACTATATTGGAGACTATAATGTTGCGTGGAAAGGCATCATAAGAATACTCTAATCTTAAATGTTAGTGGAATAACTCAAGCATTACCATACCTTAATTATGCCAATGATAATTAATTTGGAAGCACTAAACCGATACAACTTTATAATATCACATATTATTACAAGAAAATATAAGTGTCCCATGCATCCTGTAGTCACCTTAGATCATGTGAAAGAGACTTGTGTTCGTTAAGTGGGAGTTTACGCACCATGCAGGTAAGGATTATATATATAGGCACGCAAAGATAATGTTATTATTTTATAATCAGAAAATTCTGGGGTTTTTTTTTTTGTAAAAAATTTGCAACTAGTTGTTGATGCTTTGAGAATATTTGTTTTATTCTATCGTCAGTTCGTCACTTAGCAACTTCGCTTAGGAAGTAAAGCTTCAGTACATGAAATGATATTTTCTCATGTAGACACAGTGTTATCTGTTCCCCTTCTCCTTTGAAGTCCAAAATGATTTCCATCTCACTAAACCACCACAGGGTGGGTGGGGTACACTACTACCTAGTGCAATTTCGTTTTTTTTTGTTTAATCTGTTGTTTGTAAGCAATATGGTTAGTGGCGGACCTAATGTTATATTTTATCGAGATCAACATAGTCCAAATAATTTTTTGATTAAAGTCAAATGAACATAAGATAAGAAAATAGGAAACAAATCGTATGCATAATTTTACAAGTCTAAAGCCTATACGCAAAACTATATCATGGTTGGTTATTTCTAAATTATTTAGTTAATACGAACTTAGAAAAATATAAATGGGGACAGTGTCTAAAATATTTCGTTAAACAGAAAAAACTCATAAATTCAATATATTTGTCAACATTCGACATCATAACTTCCATATTGATATTTTTCTGGTTGTTATATCAATCATTATGTCTACAAAATAGTGAGATACATTTTCTCATCAACAGTCTAAGTTTGTTGCAATCATTTATTTCTTCTAAAAATCTTTCATATATTCATATTTACTGTACACACGAATGTATATTTATATTTCATTAGCTTTCGCAAGTCACGTGCTCAGCAAAGGTAAGCACGTGTTGCTCTCAGGTTCTCAACAAGGAGCCTTTTAGAGCACTGCCATCTGTTTAGAATTTTAAAGGAGCTTCTCAACAATATAAAATCAATATTTTACAGAATTTAATACTAAAATTAATTTTTCAAATTTCTAGAAAATAATTAAATTATTGAGAGAGAGACAAGTGTATACGACCTGATTTTTGTTCTTTATTTTCTGTTTAGTTTTGCAGATGCTCTTATGTTCCTATGTAATTTTGATATAAATTGTAGAAAACCTTCTTTACCGCTATGCTACATTGTAATTGACATGCCATTCAAAATATATGAATATATTTTAGTATACGAGGGTGACGTTTATATATTGGGGATGATGTTAGTATACAATGTAATTAGGAGTGTAAAATTTAAATAATGAATTGAAATAAAATGAAAACAGAGAATTAAACCAAGTTTTTTAGTTAGAATAAAACAAGCTAAAAATGTTATCATCACAAAATTATCGTACAAAATTATCGTAGTTAATGGCATATTGAATAGTTGATGGATTTAACAATTCTATGTGTATATATAATTTATAAAATTATTATAATATAAAAAAAAAAGAAAATTATGGACAATGAATCATCTTTCACCTTTGTGCTCAACAGTATTGGACCACGTAAAAAACAGTAACGTATCAATTAGATAGTTAATTCGATAACGTTAACGATGTATTATTTGTCAAAAAAATAAAAATAATAAAGTATTTGCAGGCCAGCATATGGATAAATTATACATCCATCGGAAATATAAGGAGATGACGTAGATAAATCCACGTGGAGACAGACGTGAGCGACGTGGCAAGATACATATCAGAGAGGGGAGAAGTTTTTGATGCACGGAAGCTGTCGTTCTTTTAACAATTTGGTGCAAGTCGACATTGTGGCACTCACTAGACCACCTTTTCTCCAAAGTTGATTTTATCATCCTTTTTCGTAAGAAAATAACTTTAGCTTTTTCTCAACCATTATTGCGATTGTTATTTAATATAAATCTATAATCGAACTTTAACATTTACCAAAAAAAATATCGTTGTATATATTTAATTGAAATTTCATCTTAGGTACGTAGTACTGTAAAGTCTCCAAACATTCCGGGATTTATGGCTCTACAACCATGTGTACCATATAGAGTTTTGGTCTTCTCATGAATGAACCAATGCATTGTTGCGTAATGGTTTACACTGTTGTTGAGTTACCATTCAAATTTAGATACTAGGTACGTATGTTGTTGGATTAAAAACAAAAACAAGGAACGGTTCTCTTTTGACAGTTACTAGTACTTAACACAACAATTCTATTTATAGATAATAGTATCCATACGTTGGAAACTAAGAAACTTAATTATATTTCTATCAATTTTTCAAATTGCTCCGTTTGTAATTATTTACGTTCACATTTTCTCCGTACTTTCTGCTTCACCTAATATTTTTTAGAGCTAGTTTTATTTTTTAAATAAAAATATCGTTTTTTTTTCGTTTTTCTTTTCTTTCTTCATGACTAGAGAACACAGATATCCAACAAAAACAAGCCTTCCAAATTAGCCAAATAGATTGCAAACGGCATTTACAAACAATCTAGGTATGAATGAGAAATTGTTTGTCTACTCCTTGGATATTGAGGACCATCGGTTTAAGGGTAAACCAAAGTATGCATCAATTGCGAAACATGGCTCACTGAAGAGCATTTGCCTCTGTATCATCAAGCGTTGAAGCAACTCCCGGTAATGCTTTTTTTTCTCCAAACCATTTGGTCTCATCCAATCCATATCCTAAAACCCAGCCAAAATGTATAACACACCTCTGAAAATAGGCATATCTCTGCAAATGTTTCTTATATTAAATTTAATTTCCAAATACAAAGACATAAATCCCCCAAAGTAGGTCAATGAAGCAAACAAGTTGTTCAAAAAATGGTCCCAAAGTATAGAACACTTTTAATTTTTGTTTTGTTTTTTTTTCACGAACGCTCTTAATTAGGATTAAGAAATAGTTTAAATAATTCAATACTAAATTACTTTTACGACTACATAACATATCTCTTTGATTTAATTATAATAATCCATAATTAAGAAGCCACAAGTGTTTAGATGCATCCGTTGTAGTATACGACACTTGTTACATATAGTGAACACGTGGTTTGCTATTCATGAAAATTGCCACATGATATATACCTACACGACGAGTGGACACACTAATTACTTGTATTGTATGTATCTTCTTCGTGATATACCCTGATTTTTTATAATTATTTTTGATATAGTAATTTTTTTTTTGTCGTTTTGATATAGTAATTTATATACCATGAATTGAATGAACTTAAGTTTGTTTGAGCTTTCATTGAAAGAAATATTTGATAAAAAATGGATCTAAGATAACACCAAATAGAAAAGAAAACCTCGAAAATTGGAAAAAGGGAAAGGAAAGAAAACAAATTAATACATAAAATGACATGTATATAGAAGAAAAATTCAGTACGCCAAATATAAAATGAAAGGAAGATAACTTTAACTGTTACTTCATTTTCATATCAGTATCAGGATGAATTCAATCTAGTAGATAGCAAAGCTAACCGATAGATGGTCCAATTTTATAGTGAATTACATACTGCATGGCGTTGCACTACTTCGCATATTATTATACAAATTTAATATCTTTTTAGTATTTACGTCATCCACTATCTTTTTAACTAATTACAATGGCGTTGACATACTAGAAGAAAAGAAAAAAAACTAAAGGGCTAAGAGACATGAAGCACATGATAAACTTATTAGTGTTTAATTATATATAAAAACATAACAATTTTTGCTAATGTTATACATATATTGCTTATGCTAAAAAAAACAAATATCTGCTGGAGTGTTGGATTTCAGTTTTGTGTACGCAATAAACAGTTATAGAAAAGAAAAACGTTCTGTATTTCTGACGTTTCGTCGTTAATTGGATTTTTTTTATAAAAAAAATCCATATTGTTTCAAGTAGAATGTCAAATTCATTTATTTAAGTATAGTTGATAAAATCAAGTAACACAAAAATGATAGATTTGATTCGTATGAAAATTCGAGAATATATAATTTGAAGAAACAGAAAAAGTATTGCAAAGAAAGAAAAAAAGATAGTGGAATTCAAGTAGTATTTTATATTGTATGCATACACACATAGTAAACAAACACGTCCACCCATCTATAAACTGTATCTATATAATGCATACATGTATGTGTGAAGACAAAGATATAAAAACTCCAAATATGGTAGTTAATCCCTGACCATTAATATAAGGTTTCACATACCCAAAATTTTATAACCTTATAAATACGAAATAAATCGCAGAAATCATCAACAATCACCTTAATCTCTACTCTCCTACATACAAATAACCAAATCTCTCTCTCTCTCTCTCTCTCTCTCTCTCTCTCTCTGTCTCTCTCTCCACAGACAGTAACACACATAAAGACAGACTCTAATGGATTTAGAACAGAAGACAAGAGGACTTGGCAAGTCATGTGCTCTTCTCATAGGTAAATAACATTTCTTGTTTGTTTCAAAAATTCAAACTTTACTGAAACTAAATATTGATTTTTTTTATATATATAATGCTTTTGTGTAGATGACAAAAAAAAAATGCTTTGTGTATAGTGATTGCGGGAATGGAGAGATATGCATTCAAAGGAGTGGCATCAAACTTAGTGACATATTTAACAGATGTTGTGAAGATGAGTAATTCAAGAGCAGCCAAAACAGTCAACACTTGGGCTGGTTTCACTTCTATGTTGCCTCTCTTCTCTGCTCCTTTGGCTGATGCGTATTGGGACAGATTCTTCACTATCCTCGTTTCTTCTTCTGTGTACTTTGTGGTAAGAATCTCTTACACTAAAACAATATCTATGTACATATTTGTGTAAGGATATGTTGAACACTGATGCAGTGTATAAATGATTTATGTTTTGTTGTTGTTAAAGAGTGTATAAATGTTAAAACTCTCTTCCACCGTAAAAAATGCGGTATAGGCAATAAGATTTAGGTATTGGGTCATCTTCCGATTTTTTGGGGGTTTTATCCAATTTTGAAACTGTGTTGTTAATCAACTTGATTATATGTTGATAGTGTCTCATATATGTCTATATGTATATATGCTTCATCAGCCATGAAGTGACCAAATGATGACGGGCTTTAAGTAGGACTAGAAAAGAATGGTTTAAACGGTCTGAGTTAAAAAGAACTTAGGTGTCCGATTTAAAGAAGTGACTAGATGTACCAAGTAGTGTTTGGGAAAAAGGGTTTAGACTATCTGAAATAGGAAAAAATTAGATATTGGGTCATCGTCCGCTTGGAGTTTTCTTTAACCACTAATGGTGTAAATATACCGGTAATATATGTAGTGTCTCCCTTTCACAATTGGGTTCATAATGGAAATTCCATTATAATGTTGATAGTGCTCATAATGGGTCTTATCGGATCATATTGGCAAAAAGCTAGCTTAGTGGAAAATTAGAATTTTTCTTTTTGTTACATATCTAATTATTATCTCTATTATTATTATAAAGGGACTAGTGGGATTGACATGGACGGCATTTGCTGGGTCACGTTCAGCTACGAAGACGATCTCTACTTATTTTCTCTACTCTTCACTATGTCTCGTCTCAATCGGGTTAGGCGTCTTAAACCCTTCTCTTCAAGCCTTTGGTGCGGACCAGCTTGACCACGAGCTCGATAAGGATTCCGAGTCCGAGCTTCCCTCGGGTGATCAAAAGGACGTTAAAGCTACCAGAAAGACTCAATTTTTCCAATGGTGGTACTTTGGTGTCTGCACCGGAAGCCTTATGGGTGTCACAGTGATGGCTTATATCCAAGACACTTTTGGTTGGGTCCTCGGTTTCGCCATACCCGGAATCGCGATGTTCCTGTTGATCTTGTTGTTCTTGTCTGGTTGCGGAATCTATGTTTATGGTCCTGTTGCCCGTTTGAAGACGAAAACAACCGCTACACCTTTCGAGAAGATCCTCAAATTCATCAAAGGGAGAGCAGTGAAAAAGCAGAGAAGCAAGTATACACTTGCAGATGAGGAAGATCTGGATGCTATGGAGCTAGAGTAAGTCCTAAAAAACTGCGGTATTTCACGAAGTCATTTCAAAAGTTCTTTTAGTGACTTACGAAGTTACGATGATGACCCGTTCTTGCTCTCTGTTTCTTGTTTATGTAGGCTACAAGAGAGGCCTCTCTGTAAATGTGATGACACTGAGGCCGAAGACATTGAGACTACTTCAACAACCGCCAAGAAATTGGTTGATGAAAGTTCAAAAACGGTTTTCTCTGGACTTGATAACGTCAAGTTAGTGCTTCACCTTTTGCCCATATGGACGATGCTTCTCATGTTTGCGGTTATCTTCCAGCAACCAGCGACCTTTTTCACCAAACAAGGCATGACTATGAAGCGAAACATCGGGTCCAGCTTCAAAATCCCTCCCGCCACCCTGCAAAGCACGATTACGTTGTCGATAATCCTTCTTATGCCGTTGTACGACAAGATCTTGATCCCTATCACCAAAAGAATCAAGAACAACGGTAAAGGTATCTCCGTGATGGAGAGGATGGGAGTTGGAATGTTCCTATCGATCATTGCCATTGTTATTGCGGCAATAGTCGAAAGGAAAAGACTAGACATAAGCCAAAAGGTGAAGGCTTTACCTGATTATGATCCAGAAACCGTCCCACTGAGCATCTTCTGGCTGCTACCTCAATATATCCTCTTGGGAATCTCGGATATTTTCACAGTCGTTGGGATGCAAGAGTTCTTCTACAGCGAGGTTCCGGTTAGAATGAGAACAATGGGATTCGCTCTCTACACTAGTGTCTTTGGTGTTGGAAGCTTTGTGAGCGCCGCACTGATCTCAATCGTGGAGGCTTACTCGAGCTCAACAGGTGAACGCCAGAACTGGTTTGCAGATGATATGTCGGAAGCTCGGCTTGACAAATACTACTGGCTCCTTGCTCTTACAAGTACACTAAGCTTTGTGGTATACATAGTTCTATGCAAGTATTTCAAGAGTAGTAGTGATCAAGGCGGTGAAGAAGAAGAGAAAGCCCCTAAATGAGAGAAGAACACTTTCGATTTCTTTGTCGCAGTCGACTTAAACTAACCGTTGGCCACAAGATTCCAGGAATGATCTAACTTGTAGTAGCTTAAGAACTAACTAGCAAACCGTAAGGAGGAAGACAAATTTTCTCTACGAGATTTATTCATAAGAAAAATTTCTTCTGTTACATATGCAAAAATTCAACATTTATTGTTTCGTGTATTTGGTTACATATCAGCATCAATCCTCCCATCGACCAACAACATTTCTATAAACAAAAAAACAAAATTAATCGACAGAATCGAAACCAAAAAGAAAAAGTCCAAAACTTTGACTTATACCTTTAAGTGTGTGGGCTGATTCCATTAAGACCAGCTTCTTTCGCTACGCTGCTAGCTTCTCGAATCTCGTCTTCTTCATCAGAATCGAGAGTGAAAGTACTCAAGTTCTCCATCTCAGCACCGAGAGGCCGATATTTTGAGTGATCTTCACGAAGATAACCTTTCTTGTTTGCAACAACGGAGAACAAACCAGTAGCTAAAGCCACCATAAGAGCCAAATGACAGTTAAACTGAAGAGTTGCTATTGCTTTTGCTCGGTGATAATCGCTGTGTCCTTTGCACTTGATCGTGAAATTGCCTCTGCTCTTCTCGTGAAGTGTGCAATTATTAGTGATAAACTCGGTGAAAAACGATAGACCCATTTGCAGAAACCATGTCCCTTGCAGAATCAGACCGATCCCGCGACCTAATTTCGCGAATCGACGAGTATTTGCGTCGGGTTTCAGCTCAAAAATCGTGGAGAAGACGCAGATCGCAATGGGTACGAGCATGAGGTCGTAGTAGCGATTCTCGATTCCAGATATATCCTTCTTTTGCAGGTAGAACATCAAGAACTCCTCGATGAAGCCAAAGAGAAGCACCAAACTCGTAATCGAAGACGGAAGAGCAACAAACACTGCGTTTTTAGAGTTGACCAGATAGGTCAGAATGGCGTACACCAGGAATAAAACTGCGACCGCAAGGATCTGTAACTGGAGCATCGACCCGACCCGATCTCGGGATCCGATTGAGCTGAAGAAGGAAAATATCGAGTTGGCAATAAAGAGAGACGAAAGCAAAGCTACGGGGATGGAAGACGACCCAACAGATTTGGGTGGAGACGGTGTGATCTGAGCCATAGGGGAAGAAGGATCAGTACCAGAAGATGGATTCGGATCCAGGTTCGATGAGTCGAGTGACTCCCACGCGCCGATGACGGCAAACGCGCCGCCGGCGACGGCGTAACTTAGGATACCCATGACTTCGGTTCTCAGAAATTGACAATCTTCTTCGATCCACGCGAACCAGGCTTTACTTGTTTCGAGGAAATTTGGAATTTTTCGCCATTGAAGCTTAACAGAAACGTCGACTACCTCCTGGTACACCGGAATGACCTGACCAGAATAACCAAAATCGAGATAGGCTGGTGGCCCAATAAATCATTAAAGGCCCATTGGGTCTTCATGTAAGTCCATATATTATTAAACATGTACACACGTGACAATCACGTGCCAATGGATATGCTGCGAAGCTCATATGCTGCATATAGTAGCTCAATCCCCGCGAGTGTGCTGGCTGGTTAGCTAGCTTCGACTGTGGGTGGAGAAATGTTGCTTCCTCCTCTGTATTATCAGCAGCAACCATTGATAGTACCTCCCAGAACCTTACCCGATCGAGTTTTCCCGCCCTTCCTGGTTCCTAAAACCCTGATTTCGCGATGCCATGTTCGTCGAGCGAACTCCGTCGTCCGTAGCTCTGCCTCGGACCGAAAGACTCTTCCCCAATCCGCCATCCAGAGAATCGCTGATAAGCTCCGTAGCCTTGGGTTCGCGGAAGAGAAACATGACACGAAAACCACGGGAGAAGAATCTGGTAACAATTCCCCCGGAGAGATATTCGTTCCGTTGCCTAACCAGCTTCCGATTCACCGGGTCGGGCACACGATTGACACAAGCTGGAGCACGCCCAGTTACCCGGTTCCGAAGCCCGGGTCGGGTACTGCCATCTCCAGGTACCATGAGTTGAAGAGAGTGTGGAAGAAGGAAAAGAAGGTAGAGAGGAAGAATGAGGAGAAGGTCCCGTCGTTGGCGGAATTGACATTGCCGCCGGCGGAGCTGAGGCGCTTGAGGTCGGCTGGGATTAGGTTGACGAAGAAGCTTAAGATTGGCAAGGCCGGGATTACCGAAGGAATCGTGAATGGGATTCACGAGAGATGGAGGACAACCGAGGTTGTGAAGATTTTCTGCGAGGATATTTCCAGGATGAACATGAAACGAACCCATGACGTCTTGGAGGTTCGTAAACGTTTTACCGCCTTTCTTTGTTCGATTTCTCTGTGTTTCGATATCAGGAATTTGACATATTACACTAAAATGTTTAGATTGATTTTGCGGAAGCTTAGGCCTCCAGTGTGTAAGATCTGGCTCTTGACTCAAAGTTCAATCGAAATCTACTAAATTATGCCAAAGAACAGCACATTCATACTAAAAATTCATTAGGATGGTAAGACTTATGTAGACTGATGGTGGTTCATATTTCTCGTGGTTGATTTCGCAGACCAAAACTGGAGGCCTAGTCATTTGGAGATCTGGAAGCAAAATTTTGTTGTATAGAGGGGTAAATTATCAGTACCCTTATTTCGTATCTGATCAGGATTTGGCACATGATTCTTCTGTGGAAACTGCTTCAGGGGCATCATCTATGATTCAGGGAGTGGTTGATAGTAGAGATAAACAGAGTACTGCACAATCTTCACCCACGAGTATTTCTAATAAAATGATTAAACCCTTGTTAATGCAAGGCGTTGGTTCTCCGGATAAGGTTCGGTTTCAGCTACCCGGGGAAGTACAGCTAGTAGAAGAAGCAGACCGCTTGCTGGAAGGATTGGGTCCAAGATTCACTGACTGGTGGGCATATGATCCCCTTCCAGTAGATGCTGATCTTCTGCCAGCCATAGTACCTGAGTACAGAAGACCATTTCGTCTTCTCCCATATGGCCTGAGTCCAAAACTAACCGATGATGAAATGACCACTTTAAGGAGACTTGGTAGACCACTCCCTTGTCATTTCGCTTTAGGTAAGCTTGTTTTCACCTGATTATATCTTCTTTTAGACACTGAAGATTGTTGACTTATTCTGGCTTACCTTTCCACTCGCCTTTCCAGGTAGAAATAGGAATTTGCAAGGACTAGCTGTTGCAATTGTCAAGCTTTGGGAGAAATGTGAGGTTGTCAAGATAGCTGTGAAGAGAGGAGTGCAGAACACAAATAGCGAGCTGATGGCCGAAGAGCTAAAGGTTGCTGGTTTACTTTAAATGATCAAAGTATCAAACTGTTTGTGGCTTTGTTTGCCAACAATAGGAAATTATGCCCTTTGGAGCCCCATATAGCTGAAGATATCTACTGATGAGACGGATATATATGTCTGTTGCAGTGGTTGACTGGAGGGACCCTGATATCTCGGGATAAAGATTTCATTGTCTTGTACAGAGGAAAGGATTTCCTACCATCTGCAGTTTCTTCTGCAATAGAAGAGAGGAGAAGGCAAACAATGATCATGGAGAAATCAAGCGTGCACGGTAATAAGCTGACTAAAAACGAAAAGGAAATACAACCTCAGGCTCCTACAGACGACATTGAACCAGCAGCTGAGTATAAGAAGGATCATGTACAAACCCATCAAATGAAACCAAGACAGCGGAAATCTCCTGAGGCTAGTCTTGAGAGAACTAGCATCAAGTTGTCCATGGTATGCCCTAACAGACGTGTTATACTTGAATCCATTGGGTTTGCAGGATCTTTTTAGTTGTCAATGATTAGTTTTCTCCTTAGGCGTTAGAAAAGAAAGCAAATGCAGAAAAAATTCTGGCGGAGCTGGAGAATAGAGAGAGTCCTCAGCAGTCTGACATCGACAAGGAGGGTATCACTGATGACGAAAAATATATGCTACGGAAAATTGGCTTGAAAATGAAGCCTTTCCTTTTACTCGGTAAGTAACTGGTATTCCTCTTTTTCCACTAGTCTATTCCCTCTTTCATGTAAATATGTGTGTTAAATGAGTAACTGTCATGGACTCATCTCGTTGACATGGTATGTGTTAATCTGTCCCGTTCTGACATATCTTGTTGTGCTCTCAAGGTAGACGAGGCGTCTTTGATGGAACAATAGAGAACATGCATCTTCACTGGAAATATAGGGAACTTGTGAAGATTATTTGTAATGAAAAGAGCATTGAATCTGCTCGCGAAGTAGCAGAAATCTTGGAAGCAGAAAGTGGTGGCATACTAGTTGCTGTGGAGATGGTGAGTAAGGGCTATGCAATTATTGTGTATCGTGGCAAGAATTATGAGCGTCCTCCATGCCTACGACCTCAAACACTTCTCAGTAAGAGAGAGGCATTGAAGCGATCTGTGGAGGCACAACGTCGAAAGGTAAGAAAAAATCGTAAACGAATCCTTGACCTGACAAAATTGTATATGAAGCTCTATAAAAAGATCTTATCTGGTAACTTCAAACTGATTTTGTGAATTCGTCACATGCATTTTTAATTATTTTTTCTGCTCGAACTACTGCAGTCACTAAAGCTGCATGTGCTGAAACTTTCCGACAACATTGAAGAATTGAACCGTCAATTGGTAAGTCATATGTGTTGCTCAGCTTGATTTGCTTGAACAATCCTCGAATATGGTCGTAACATATGAAATACTGGTTGAGGGGCAGGTCAAGGACAGTGCGACCAACGCAACGTGGTCAGATGGGGAATCAAGTAACAGAATGGTAATTATTTACAGTTTTAGTAAACTCATGTCAGTTTTTGATGCTATACCTATGTTTTTGTGATTTTCTCAGTTCTCCATGTTGTTGTAGTTCCAAGAAGAAACAGCAAATCAGCAAATTGAACTCGGAAATTCCTCTGACCCAAGAGTTCTTTCCTCTGGTGAAGAGAGCTGTGAGGTAAGATGCTTAGCTCCTACTCTTGCAATCTAATGCATGAATATTAATATGCCATGTAGCTTGGCATCTACCAAAAAGCTAGCATCAAGTAAATTTGAACTTTAATAGAATCTTCGGATTACTGAAATATGAGCCTGAATTCTGAGACGGCGGTGGTGAATATTTTCTAAGGATGACAGCAGTCATGAGGATCGAGAAGATGAATCTGGATCTGGCTCTTCACAAAGACATGGTAACTCTCTCGATTCAACTGCAGTACTTGGAGAAACCGGTTCTGCCGAGGCTTCTTCGTTTCATGATAGATCCATGGTAATGTCTAGGAATTCTTCTCTTTCCTCTTTGGCTCTATAAGTGCGATATTAAATTAGTTACCTTTTTCTTTGTTTTTTTTTGGGAATTTAGCCGCGCAACAGCTTCCTGAATGCTGAGCGGAAGGTACCAACTGGACAAGAACTGGGATTCTCAACTGGAAGTGGCTCACGAATCTCAGCTCTGACAGAAAGCAAAAGCGAAAAGGATGGATTGGTCGCAGATCTGTCCAATAGAGAAAGGCTCATTCTGAGAAAACAAGCCCTTAAGATGAAGAAGCGCCCACCCTTTGCAGTAGGTGAGTTATACTATCTTCTATACTCGTTACTGCTAAGAGAAGCACTTGATTTCATATCTTAAATCCAATACTTTCTCAGTCATCTCTTATACATAAATTCAATGGTATAATCAATTTTATAGTGTAGACTCACGTGGAACGTTATAGTTACAGTTATTGAGAATGGCACTAACAGTTTTCAAATTTTCGATTTTGTAGGAAGAAGTAATGTTGTAACCGGTTTAGCGAAAACACTGAAGATCCATTTTGAGAGAAACCCTCTTGCAATCGTAAACGTCAAAGGGAGAGCCAAGGGAACATCTGTCCAAGAAGTGATCGCAAAGCTCAAGGTCGATTTATATAACACTCTAGAACTTAGAAGCCGTAACCAGTAGTACTTGAACCGTTTTTAAAAAGAAATTAAATCTGCAGGAAGAAACAGGAGCACTTCTGGTGTCGCAGGAGCCAAGTAAAGTGATACTTTACAGAGGTTGGGGAGCAGAAGAAGAAATGAAAAGCTTCTACCCAAACAACAATGTTAAAAACTCCATCAATCTAACATCACATTCAAAAAGGTTTGTTAAAGATCCTCCTCCTGTGTCTCCTGCACTGATTCAAGCCATAAAGCTTGAATGTGGATTGCTATAACGTTTTTTTTTATATATTATCTATATAGTTTCTCTTTTAATTTTAACATTATATTGACTAAGTTCATCAGCTAAATAATTTCAGATGAAGCCGTAATTGTAGATTTAACATTTTTTAAGTTTTCGAAAAAGACCCTCATGGAGGTCCAAGAAGCTTAATTCTATAAACTAAAAACGTTCATGGCCCAAGCAAACAACAACAAAGATTTTTCCACTACTGGCTATTAGTACAAGTGTCCAATCAATAAAAGCGCACACTTTTCACCTTGTATTATTTTCGTTTTTCTTTTCTCAGACGACAAAATGTTTGAATGTGTATTTTAATCTATCAAAACTTGAAAAAAGAAATATTGAAAGAAAGAAGGAAAAAATAAATGAAAACAAAACTTTGAAATTCGTAGAGCAAATGATATTATATAATTTCCTGGACTTAGCTAAGATTTGATGTGCTACATTATGATGTCATAAAAGTTTCCCCACCTGATTTCTCATTCTCTCTAGCAATCAGAGGGTTTTGAGAGAAGGGGAGGTTGAGAGCGGCTTAACTCGGATGGTTCTGGTGTAGAGGTTTGTGAGCGCAAAGAGTAAAAGCACAAAGACCACTTGAGCACTTACAATCCCAAAATGGCTTATACTATTCCCTATTTCCATCCAGCTTCCTGTGTTTCTCACCTGAAATTATTTATTTTCAATCAAAATTATAAAAAAATATATGTCAAGTGAAGCTTTTGACATTATTACAACTCTTTATAAATCTCTATTCCTGCTTCAGCAAGAATATTATGCACCAAATAATGCAGCTCGATGCTAAAAAAGCAAATGCTTTGATGCTATTTGATGCTATGAATCTTTTGGGTCGTGTGTTACTTACCAGGAAGAAGAAATGTATCGTCATTATGTCTGAAAACAAGATCACAAGGAAGTAACATCCAAGTCTTGGCACTCTCACTAATTTCGTTATTGCACTGAACGCACATCTAGTAGTTAAAGGAAAAGAGAAAGAATGTTAAAAAGAAAACAGAGAGTATAGTTTTTATAGTGATGATTACTGAGTTTGGATAAGCATTTATACTCACATGACAAGCATGAACGGTATGAAGAGCTTGAATATAAGAAGAGCTGCCATCAGAAAGGGCTGTAGAGATGCAAAGGTTCACATAAGACTCACACAATGTAAAAACAAAAAAAAGGAGATGATGAGATTCTTCTTTTGTTTTTTTTTTTTTTTTGTAAAAAAAAAATGTGTAGATGTTTCATATACTCACGCTGAAGACTGTGATGAACCGATATACAGATGATATCTCAAAACTCGCTATACTCGCAAAATTCCCAGTTCCGAAGAAAGTGACATTGAATAAAACCATCTACAGAACACAAGCCAAAACCAAATTAATATACCTGCTATTTTGTTCAAATGCAACAGAGCTCTTAACCTCGCATCGTCAGAGGACCGAGGAAAGAGAGAAAATGACTTACAAAAATCAAAGGAATCCGCACATCAGATAGCTGCAAGTATCTCTCGTCGCTTCCGATTGTGACATGTTCCTCTGTGTTTTGTTCTAATATAGATGAATCTTTCGCTTTGCTAGAATAACGACAAGCGTTCTCAAACAATATCCATGCCATAAGTACGACGGCAAGAGCACTGTAAAAGACAGCTTCATACCTGCAAACAAATCCTGAAAACATGAGAACACAACAATAATCCATATACCAACACCAGTGAACTCTCATTCATAGCCACGTCTTGTAAAGAGGCATACCCAATAGACAGAAGAAGGAATGGAGGCGCAAAACCAAGAAATATTGAACTTAATCGTGAAAGGATGCCATTTCCTGAAAACAACGGAAGAACCATTGAAGAACCTGCAAAGACAGAAGACGGTCAGGAAAAACGGTAACTTAGACACAAAGAAACACATTATGCAAACAGAACAGAGGTCTGAGGATATACCGGCAACTAACCAGTTTATGAACTGGTGTGACGAATGTAGTTCTTGATTCTGTGTTCGGTGCTTTGTCGACAGAAACACCATCACCGACGAAACTCCAACCAAAAGAATCTATTTCCATTTACACCATGAATAGGTGATCTATTATACTTAAAAACCAAAATCTTAAGTTTTAAAAGTAGAAATGGTTTATACCTGTATGCAATATAGCATGGAGCACATCGGCTTCCTGCTTTCATGAAAAGTGATACTCTGCCAAAATTTGTTCCCTTCTGCATGTGTGTCTAGCCACTTCGCAGCGAGGCTTACTACTATGATGATAGCTCCACTTATAACTCTGCAACCAACAGATAATGCCAACATTAAACAGTGACGATTTTACAAAGTAGAAATTGACGCTTGAGAACAAATATGCTTATAATGCAGTGTTCAACATATTTTTTTTTTTTTTTTAAATTCCAGTGAATGGTAGTGAAGCCTTCTTTTAGATGAGTTGAAATTTACCAGATCTTCTAAGTAATAAATTGTGTTTCTGTATCATGTTAACCACAAAACACAGGAAAATAATCGGAGGAAACCTCACACAAGGGGGAGAGAAGGGACTTACACTAGGTTATTATTATCAGGAATTTCAGCTGGCATCAGAGTGAAGACAGACAGGAACCAACAAGAAATACAGACAAAAAATGGTATCCCAGATCTCCATGGAATTGAAACGTGCAGCAAAATTGAAGCCACAAAACCTGCTATCAAGAAAAACCAAGTGTAAAGCTTTCTCTCAGTGAAGCTATGAACCTGCAAGAGGTTGAAAGAAGAAACGATCAGGGGAATTTAAGTCTCCGACTCAGAAAAAGATGACCATTCAATTACACATACCAATAATTCCACAACGACAACTGATACAGCTGCAGCGAATAGAAGTTTGATGAAGTAGCCAGCCTTCCTCTCCCTCAGATATCTCCACAACCCTCTTAATAACCGATGTTCGCTAAAAATCTGTGTCCATAGAAATACCGTCATTCCAATATATGCATGGTAAAGAGGGGGAGAGTGCTCCACCAGATTTAGCACAGAGAGAATTGCCATAAGTAGACACCCTGATAAATAGACCTGTGTCAGAATAACTAAATTACATGAGATAGGCGAAAATTTCACATAAAAGGTACAGAAGCTTATCTATAACAAAGAAATCATGCTTAACCAAGTAAACAGGAGAACAACTAAAAAGAAGAGTAACGATTGTCAAAGTGAAGATTGACTTATATATGCATTACTTTTCCAGAGTCTTTTTTCTGCACAGATAACTGTCCTTTTCTGGACAAATCTCCTGAGAGTGAACTATAACATTGCAGGACATGCAGGGCAAGTACGATCATCCATCCAGAGTATCCAAGGGTAATAACAGTCATCAGCATTAGCCAGTCATACGTTTGGAAATAATGAAGGCCTTCTAATGACAAGTTTCTGAGGTCCACAGCCAATTTCATTGCAGCTTCATAACGTTTGGAAGAAATTAACTCATCAATCTGACTCAGCGATGAGGAATGGTCGACCAACGGCTTGAATGGCTTGAAAAACAAGGAATTTGACCTTTTTATATCTGATTTTGTCAAGGAGACCATACCCAAGACAAAAAAGGCATAAATAATGCTAAGAAACGAAATCCAAACACAGTAAAAGAAGTTGATTGAACTATGAATATAACTAACAATATTTTTCTACCAGTATAAAAATATTGTACCATAGCATAAACATGTCAAAAGCTCGAAAGCAGAGAGCGGTTCGGATATTTAATCCCAGCTCCCCAAGCAACTAATGGAGTATCAGTATTTGTAGGATGCCCATCTCCATGACTTCCTATACGTAAAAACAGGTGCATTTAGCGTCATTATTATTTTTCTTTTTGGGGGTCAACATAGCATCATCACCATCATTAGCTCAAAATGAAACAAAGAAAATTAAATGGAAGGTGCAGTGAAAACCTAATCAGACAGCTACGAGAAAATTAGGGATCATTCCATGGCAACTTGAGAAAACAACTGATAAACAAAGATCTTACTCCATAGCAGTATACTCTACTAAAACCGGCTCCCAAATCGTAGTAGCCTAAACACCCATTAAACCCTAGAGGAGTGTTAAGTAATGAAAAGATTCAACATAAAAGGAAAGACACACGCAATGCAAAAGCAGACCTTTGTCGCTCATCCCATGATCAGCAGTAAAGATGTAAGAAGTGCGATTGTCTCTGTAGTAATCCTCCAAGAGATGGTAGACCCTTTCAGCTATCTTATCAACAACTTTGACATTGTTGAGATAGATCGATGAGTATGGCCGATGTGCATGACCATTGGAATCGCAACCAAGAAGGTGAAGGAATACAACAAGTTTGTCCTGGTGGAGCAGCTCTTTCAACTTTGGATCTGCGTGAGACCTATTCAGAAGGCTCTCAAATTGATCAAAAGACCACTCGTCCAAAAAGGAGGCATCTACACCAAGAGACGAGCAATAAGGCACAGTCAAACGGATTTCCAAATACTTGATACATAGTTGATATCGCCTACGAGGCTACATTTTCAAACTAGAAAACGAACCTGTTGCAAAGTCTTCATACTCGTGCGGATAAGAATTCCAAGTGCTATGAGGTAATGCACTGCAGAATATAGGGATAATATCCGGACTCCCATAAGCAAATGTATGCCTGCTCCGGTTAAAAACAGAATCAAATTCAACAGGATTAGCTTTCCATCCTGCAAAAAACACAGTAATTATTTTTACAAAAAAAAAAAAAAAAAAAAAAACTCTACAGAGACCAGAGCTGAAAAATCTAGAGAGTAACAAGAATCATAAATTACAGACTGGGAAAGAAGAAGAAGAGAACCTTTTGTGACAGCACTAGGATCTTCATAGAATCCAGCAATAATAGCAACATGCCCAGGTCTAGATTCTGTGGGAGGACGAGCATGAGACACTCCCCAACGCCCCTGATTCTTGATTACATTCCTCAAGAAGGGTGCTCTGTATTTGCCGTCCACGTCCGGCTCGAAGAACTTGTCAGCTCGTAGTCCATCCGCTGATAATGTCCACCAGAAATGTATCCATATAATCAAATAAACTCTAAAAAATTCTACTAAAAGCAGCGGCAGTGATGAGGAGAATACGTACAGATGAGAAGAACAAGTCGCTTCGCCGGCGGCTCAGAGAATCTCGGAGGCACAGGATCCATCCCGTGGACTATCGGCGTCTTGAAGTAAATGTCGAATATACTTAACATGTAAACGGCGTGGAGAGCTACGCCGAGAACCACGAGCCACGTTTCTCGCCTCTTTAGCCATCTTCGTCTACTCGCGACGGCGTCGGCCGTTGCTCGATTCTGATCCGAACCTCCTCCTACTCCCAAGATCCCGTCGCTCCTCATAGATCTTCCGAGTTCACACACTCACAGTCTAAACCTTTTTTCCTGGATTTGCTTAAATCTCAAACTTCTTCAACTTTTTCACTGTTCAATCTCATTTGTGAGTTGTAAGTTGTAACTAAAGCCCAAAGATTAGGAATTCAGATTTACATTACTATGGTTTCGAGGGATTAAACATTTGATGAGAAATGAATAACAAAAATTATTAGAAAACCAATGAGTTTCTTTGCTCTCAATTTTATTACAACCCCAATAGAAGATATGAATACAATACAGAGAGAGAAATTACAGAGAAAAAGTAGAGAATACATAACAACAATTTATAATATGAGATTGAGTCTCTGAAATCCAGAAACCACACGAGAGAGAAACAGAGCAAAAACTCAAAAAAAACGACTTGCGACCTTTTTCACCATCTTATAAACCCGGCGGATTTTTTTTTACTCGATTATAAATCTCATCAGTTCTTCACTGTGGTCACATGCTTGAGAAGCATTTCCACAACATCTTTGGAAATCCTCGATGCTTCGTTCTTCAACTGTTCGATCTTTGCATCAGTCTCTTGCTCCAGCCTCTTCACATTGGCACCCGAGTCTCCACTAGTCTGTTTTCACAGGTATGATTATTAGTAAAAAGGACACTGCTTTTTTTAGATTGTCTGAGAAAAGTATCTTCTTTTTTTTTTTTGAAAGGGATGGTTTTTCTACCTCCTCAAGTTTCCTCTGGAAGTCTTGCTCTGTTTTAGCTTTGTATTCGGCAATCTCTTTCTCAGCCTCTTCCTTGGCTTGCTTCAGTCTTGCCATCTTTGCTGCAACACCAAGAACAATTAAGAAATGAATCTCAAAACATGTAATGGATCTCTATGCATTATCCTCCATCTGCTGTAAATTCAATACCGTTTATTTTTACAATAAGAATGTAGGCAACCAAAGATCTCTGTAGGGGGGAAATGATGAAATTGACAAGTTGATGAAAACTTAGCCGGATCAGACATTCTGTGTTTATGTATGATTTCAGATTGTAAGCATATGACGCAGTATTAAAACTTAATAATAGTTACCGCTCCTTGCAGCGTTGACAATGTGTTGAGCTTCTTGTTCAGCAGCAAGCAACTGCTGGATCCCACCTTGACCTCTGCTGGATTCCATGCTTTATCCCACAAAACCTAACATAAGAAAATAATCTTTTAGAAAAACAATTTTTTCGATTGAAAACCCAAACTTCACAAATTCAAACTTTCGTAAAGTCGAAACATTTTACAGAAGCTGCTAGATGAGTAACCAGAAAAGCTACACATGATCACTAATTGGGGTGATCATAGCGATTATGAGTATTACTAAGTACTAAAAATAGTCCTTAGCACAACAGGTTCGGAGAGACATGATTTACCCGTAATTCAAAGCAGATCTGCTAAATCTAGCAATCCATGACTCGGCATCAAAACAAGTGGAGAATCGATTTAAAAACAGAACAAAACAGATCTGAGGGCGCATACGAGTAATGAGGATCGAAGATCGATGAAGTCAGAAAAAAAATCGATGTCGAATTTTAAATACTCTTTCTAAAGAAAAACCAACTCTTAACGCATTACTAGCAACGATTTGAATCCCTTATAGAGTTATACTACTAGTCTCGGAATATCCGGAAGTAGATAGAAGAAGGCGATACATTTTGACTTCCGATTGAAAATCCGATCGAACTCATTGAAAGAGGAGAAGGAAGAGAGAAAACGCGCATACCTTTGGCTTGTTCCGACGAGGAGAGATAGGAGACCAGAGAGAAGAGAGAAGAGAGGTACAATCGGAGAGATGATCTGATAACACGTCTCTTACTTGTATTTGACTAATAACAAGAGTCGTAGGCCCACATTAAAGCCCATTTATGGTTTATATTTAGATTGAGGCCCACGTATACTAAACATTTTATTAATTAATTTAGTAATAAGATCATTGGTCTCTCTCTCTCTTTGAGAGTTTTAGTTGAGTCTGAGGAAGCTCTCTCATACATTCCTCTTTGGTGGCTCACAACAAATATTCCTGACACTCTGGTGTGGTGGTGAGACAAACCCTAAGCATCCACGTTTTCTTTGATGCTTTTTTGAAATACGAATCACAGGGATTTGATGTCGATGGATAATCGCGGCGGATTCAGCTACATGGGTCGCAATTTCAGCGATTTGAGTGTCAACGATGACTCCTCTGCTTTCAGCGATTGCAACAGCGACAGATCCGGCGAGTTCCCCACCGCTTCCTCCGAGAGCCGACGCCTCCTCCTCTCCTGTACCTCTGACAATTCCGACGATCTCATCGGCCATCTCGTCGCGCATCTCGACTCCTCCTTTTCCATCGACGAGCAGAAGCAAGCTGCCATGGAGATCAGGCTCCTATCCAAGAACAAACCTGAGAATCGGATCAAAATCGCCAAAGCCGGGGCGATTAAGCCCCTGATTTCTCTCATCTCCTCCTCCGATCTTCAGCTCCAGGAGTACGGAGTCACCGCCGTCCTCAATCTCTCCCTCTGCGATGAGAACAAGGAGCTGATTGCTTCTTCCGGTGCGATCAAGCCGCTCGTCAGGGCTTTGAAAATGGGAACGCCTACGGCTAAAGAGAACGCCGCCTGCGCTCTGCTCCGGTTATCGCAGCTCGACGACAACAAAGTCGCGATCGGGAGATCGGGAGCGATCCCTCACCTTGTCAACCTTCTGGAAACCGGAGGGTTCAGAGCGAAGAAGGACGCGTCGACGGCTCTCTACTCGCTGTGCTCAGCTAAAGAGAACAAAATCAGAGCCGTGGAATCGGGAATCATGAAGCCGCTGGTGGAGCTGATGGCGGATTTCGGATCCAACATGGTGGATAAATCGGCGTTCGTGATGAGTCTGCTAATGTCGGTGCCGGAATCTAAGCCGGCGCTAGTGGAGGAAGGAGGGGTTCCGGTGCTGGTGGAGATCGTCGAGGCAGGAACGCAGAGACAGAGAGAGATGGCTGTGTCGATACTGTTGCATCTCTGCGAAGAGAGCGTTGTGTATCGAACCATGGTCGCTCGAGAAGGAGCGATTCCTCCGCTTGTGGCGCTTTCCCAGGCAGGAACCAGTCGAGCTAAGCAAAAGGCGGAGGCTTTGATTGAGCTTCTAAGACAACCAAGATCCGTTAGCAACGGTGGAAGATCGTCGGAATTGTGAGAGCTTTAGAATTTTTCTTTTTCTCTCTTTTTTTACTGTCATTGCCAAAGATATACAAACGACTAGAAAAGGAAGAAAGAAACCAAAAAAAAAAAAAACTGTAAATAGTTTGTGTAGTAAATGTAGAAAAGTAGTTTGTTTTCCCTCTGTGATATATGTCTTCTTGGATTTGGCTTTTTCTGTTATTCAGTTGATAAATTTCGGTTTGGATTGGCTGTAACAGTTTCATTTCGTTACTAATTTACCCTCCCATGTCTATAATCGCTAACTAGTTAGGTTTTTCTAATAGATAATAAAAGCATTCTTTCTTAATTGGAAAATTATTTAACATAGGGTAACTCAACCAATATCGTATGGCGAGATAATTTTCCTGAACAAATTTAGGATTTAAAACTTCTGGGTCGAATTAAGATCATAGATAGTTTCATTTATGACCAAATTCGTTTGCTTCAACTTCGTTTTTCCTTGTCTTCTAGCTCGCAAGAAATCCATGTGTATCTTGCTTGAATTTTGGTTTGGTTTCAACAATTTCACATAATGACTACTTTACCCTTAGTGTAGTGTGTCGGCTTTGAATAAATGAGAGGACATAACAAGGGAACATTAATATTCCGAAGAAGATAAAAACATTATCATTTGGAAAATCATTGAACAGAATTTAAGAGGAAGAGAAGAGAAACATTAGACATGTTCTTAGGAATCCAACAGGCTGGGGACAGAGCAAGAGACAGAAATGAAAATGTTCACGTTTATAGCAAACACTTACTCCTATAAAAGACACGATCCGAGAAACAAGAAAACAGGAGGAATATTACTATTTTCTACGTCTATAGTAATCTCCTCTTCTAGCCGCCTGCAATCTCTTTCGTTTGACCCTCTGGATACGCATCGAGTAAAGAAAAGAAAAAAAAATACACAAAACCTTGTTTGCTTAAGATCCACTTAAAAACCAAATAAAAGAAACTATAATCCATATTCTTTTTGAGATCACAAACTAACTCACCTGCGAGATGGATCGCATAGTTAGCTTGAGTATCAGCATCAGAATTGAACTCCTACAAACCAGACAGCTAAACGATTAATTTTCATCTTCACATCGAATGATCCAAAACTTTCCAAACCCAAAGAAATTCGGTTCAAATTCCCAGTAAAACTCTGGAAAGAAGAACCAACAACATGATCGGACATCATGAGATTGTTACGCAAACCAACCATTGAGTGGATTAAACAAAAGGGTTTGGTGGCTTACCCTGTCAACGTGTTGAATATGGAATGATTTAAACTGCCTCTTAAGCTCCTTGGCCTGTTTGCAAAGCTCAGCCATTTTCGGGTGTTTGGTTTTCCATGCATCTTGAACCTGTTGCCAAACATTGTAGATACTAACACAGATGACTGGAACAAAACAAAACAAAAAAAGAAGATACGGTGAAGTCAAGTCTATCTTCACTTCACCTGCATACAGACAAGCATTGAATCTCCTTGGACGCGCACATTTCTAAACCCTTTCTCAAGAGCACACTTGAGACCAAGAATCAGAGCTCGATACTCTGCAACGTTGTTCGAGGCAGTGCCCACACCCTCACGTAAATAGAAGAGCACACTTTTATCTGAAGCACGAAGAACAGCTCCCGCACCAGCTTTTCCTGGGTTTCCTTTGGAAGCACCGTCAAACTCGATAGTAATTGAATCCTGGGGGGCAAGGATTGATATAAAAGATGCAACCAAAAAAAAACAAGCATATGACTGAAATAATTTTTTTAGGTTGTAGCTGAAATTACGTGATTGGCAGGAATAACCCGAGGAACCATGCCCTTTTCTATCTTAAGTTGCTTTTGCGGAGGACTCGCGGAAAATGACCCCGATTCATCACTTCCCTGAAAGATCGGTCAGAGACACAAGACTTTTCGTCATTTTCTTCAAGATATCATTCAATTTCATCCGCAACAGTAATGAACCATGTGTATAAGACTGATAAGATTATCTGTTTCTACCATTTCTTGCAACCTCTTAGGTTGTGAAGGTTTGTAGTTAGTCGCTCCTTGGAGAAAAGATGTTGGCTGCTGAAATGTAAAATCAAAAGTCAGAGGAGAGAATTATGGAACAATATTATCTCAACTCGAAATAATTTTCGAATACAAAAGGAAACTACGAGTATAAATGGTCCTTTGTTTATCAATCTCTCAAAAACAAAGATCAAAGATTCTGCATCTAACCTGAACAGGACAAGGAATGAGTTTCCCAAAAACATCATCTTTGACATAACTTGCGTTGATAGAAAAGAGAGCGTTCTTAATTCCAAACGACGATATCAAGTCTTCTGCTCCTTTTGGCCAACCATATCCTTTGTACACACTCATTGCAGGACCTGAAACCTGGAAGAAAAAAAAATCAAAAACCAAAATCGGGAAAACGAATCAACGACTTGAGTCAATTCACAGTGAATAATGTGAAAGAATAAATGAGAAATTACAGATGATCCAGCTTGTTCTTGGCATTCGCTCAAGCTTCGATACACACCAATGATGTCTCCTTTACGAACAATGTAAAACGCGTCTTTTTCATCCTCCATCGCGGAATCAGTGAACCGATTAACACTATGATATGCTAATATATCAACTCTTCGGTAACCAACTACACTCGAGCTAGCGAAAAATAGACAGAGATAACGAGTAAGGCTAATATAGGGGAGAGAGAGAGACGACGATGCAAATCTTCACATAAAACCTTAAAAGAACCCTAAACCCTTTCTACTCAAACGAACAAAGAAGGGGAAAAGAAACGAATCCCTAGAAAGAAATTGAACAGAAACCCAGGATTCAAACGGCCAGCGAGAATCGAGCGAGAGATGTCATCAAAATATTGGAAGATTTGCTTTTCGAATTTCAAATTTGAGACATCGTACGCATGCTTGGCCTTGAGAGTGCGATGGTATGAGCAAAACAGAAGAAGGAAGACGAATGGATGGGCTTCGGCGAGAGTAAGCCCACTAATAATAATATTAGGAAAACCACGTGTCGTTCGGTCTCACGGGAACAAACTGCTTTGCCGTTTTATATTAAGCTACTCAATATTTTCGATTTTCCCGGGCAGTATTCTAAAAATATTGCGAACGACAAAAAACAACAGGATTGCGAACGAGTAATCGAACAAATGCTATACATCATGTATACCATGCATTTATTTATATTACATATTATTAATGTTTAATTATAGCTTTACAGACTTAATTACAGTGACTGCTCACAACCAACAATACCCAAAAAAAAAAAGTAATTTAAAAGTGTATTAACAATGATCTAATTAAGATGGAAAACGGAGATAGAGAGGGATAGGATTTTCGGCAACGGGTGGCGAATCCCATACTGAAAAAGCACTTTCAGAATTCATCCAAGAATCGGTCATTTCAGGATAATGGCGATCAAAAACATCCTTGAGATTCTCTGTAGTATTCACCCATTCAAGACCTTTTTTCGTATATGTCATTTCGTTGAAATCGCTCGTGAAAAATCGATCCGCTTCTAATCTCCTGAAAATATTTAAATTTGCTCATAATTTATTAGTATAAATCTGATCGTCTCAACGGAAATTCTTGAATTTCAAAGTCAACTATGCAATTTTAACACCGACAAGTGAAAATCTATAGTAGGTTTATATTATAAAAACAAAAAAACAAAAGAGAAAATAAATGCTAAAATACCTTGTGGCCATGAGAAGGAAAATGTTAAATGCGGTCTCGCTAATAGCGAACCCTTTGATTTTCTTCTCTGCCATGAGTCCCACCAGAAGATCAAGCTCGTCCACATCACCACCGTAGACGTCATCTAGCAATTCAATTGCTTCCTTATCGTCCGTTAGATCTTCCCAAGTCTTTATCGGAATCATAAACATAGCTCTCCTAAAATCGTTGTACCGTGCAACATTCCTCTCCCTGTCCCTATAGACTATTAAATGAATTCATGTTAGCTATTAAATGAATTCATGTTAGCTAGTGTGTATGTGTATAAATCGGAATCATGAACCCCCAATACAGATGCTCTTAGCACTCATCCAATCAATATAAACAAAAGAATGAACGGGTGAGATGGGATTGGCTTACTCTCTAAAGCAGCTAAGTCGATGTGGTCGGGACGATCGTGGCCGTTGGGGTCTTGGGGGACAAGATCCCTAAACCACGCTGGATAATTCATTAGTTCAAGGGCCCCACATGCTTGGTGACCCATTGACACCATTAGCTTAGTGAATCCAATCTGAGACATGGTTTCTTCTCCCTCACGACCAATCAATTTTTCCATAGAAACCCTAATTAATTCCAAAATATATAAGTGAAAAGAGAGAACATCTTAGTATTCGAGATCTTTGAATTGGAAAATTTTTGAAAGAGTGAAATTAAATTAGAGAGCGCTATATAAAGTAAGAAAGTTATATAATGTAGTACTCTTGAGTCAAGGGAAGTGATTTATTAGGTCCTGGTGTAACATCAATGTCACGCATGTGGAGTTGATCGGGTAAGAGAGAGTGCATTCGATAGACGCTAGTGAATTCTTCGGTTAGAGAATATGGGACTCCATGGTTTTGCGGTTTTTTCATACCCACGACACCTCCAAAGATGGAACTGCCTACATGTCCGAAAGTATCTTTAAATTTCTTTCCTAATAATCCGTACCTATTTAAAAAAGAACACAATATATATATACTAAAAGTGTTAGATGGAAAATGTGTGACGTGATGATTATAATTTATAGATATAACCAAGTCATGTAGAATATAATTATTCACCAGTTGGCTCGCATCCCAGCAAGTAAAGTGTCGGTTTTGAGAAGCTCAACGGTCCAATCTATAGTGTGAATCTTGGCAATCACTGCTGACGTCACTAGTCTAGCATGACGGTACAAATCTTCGTCTTCCAAATCTTCATACTCCTTCTATTATACAGTATACAATTTTATACTTGCAATATTAACTTAACTATAATTGTTTTTTAAGAAAAAAAAAAAAAAAAAGGAAAAAGAAAAGAGAAACAGATATTTAACCTTGAGGAGGTCGCATACTGCGTTGTGCTCTTTGATGAAGAGAGCTTGCAAAGCGGAGACGCCGACCCAACTGTTACGTATGTCGCCGGAAATTGCTAAACCGTCGTCGTCGTGGAGGAGGAGACCTGTCTCCTCCGATATCTTTAGCTTCCCATCTTTGTAAGTTCTCACCCTCTCCAATGTTTTCGAGTTGCTTCCGTATATCACGCTCGAATCCCTGATTACATTCTCACTCGTATGTTATTTCGTTCTCAATTATTTATTTACTGACTGCAGTATATATACTATATAGGTCAAACCAAAACTCTCTATAAGTAAAAAAAATAAAAATCGATTAAGATTTCAAAAACTGAATATACGGTTTAAACCAGCCCGAAAAATAATTATTGTACGGTCATACGCGAAACAATCTAGGTATAGGTTACAAACTTAGAATTAAAAAAATTACTTACCACCAAGGTGTACGAGTATTTAGCGAACCGGTCTTGATCTCGAAGAAACCGGTAGGGACTTCCTTTGTCTTGAAGAACCTAAAGGAGCTTAAGGGACACCCTTTCGCTGCTTCTTTTGGAGCCGAGAGCTCGATCTAATAAATAAACGGAATTAACCATATGAACTAAATTATTTGCTTCCTTTTCTTTATTTTTTTTTTGTTAATCAAGAAGGTCATGGGCTTTAAGGCGGCCATAATCTTTTGGAAAAGAAGTTTGAACAATGTTGAAAACTAGTCAATTCTCACTCACTGGTATATATATAATGGTTTGGTTATTCAACATGTTAAAGCTGTAAACGTAAGTACAATATCGAAACTTGACTTAACGAACCTGATCAGTGTCTTCAAGATGGTCAACCCAATCATGGATCATGAATTGAATCCAAGAAGCTGCAATCATATTGAATTGCTTCCCTGTGTCGATCATCTTTCTTCTTGTTAATAGTTTTGTCGCCACCACCATCGGGTCTGGCTTCAATAACTTCAAAAAAAAAAAAAAAAAAAAAAATCGCACACAAGAAAAACTTTATTTCTTCTCTTCTGAAAAATATTTAACAACCTGCTAAATGGAAAACGCGCGTGCCTCTCAATATAGAAATTTCAAGAAAATGCCCCTTTTCTATTACTATTCCAACCAATAGCATATACGTCAAATCTTTGGAAAAAAAAAATCAAACTATTTTCATTCTCCAAATTTAAAACCGTACTGACACTTTTATACACAGATGGCATATATAGTTAGATTTACCTTTATTTTCTGATCGACGGGAGGACAATTTCTTCCGATGAAGCTATTTTGGCTGCCGACGCCTTCGTTAAACGGATCAGTGAATTTCCCGTCAGCAGTCCGGTACGGATAATCAATAGGATTAAACCGGGTCCCAACCGGAGTTTTACCGACATTAATGAGATTGTATTCTTGGTGCAAATGTCTTCGTAGTCCAAGGTAGGCCAGACCCAAGAAAACCGGCAGCTTATGCCATGGAACCATCTTATCCACTGCATGCACAATCTACCACATAAAAACATCGGATCATAACTATTTTCCGAATATATGTAGAATAGTACACTATGGCCATCCAAACTCCATGCACTATATATTGTTACTTTACCGATAACACGAAATTGAGAAAATATGTTACGTATAATTAAATCAAAATTGAAAGGAATATATTTCTTTGGATCGAATTGGATTAGAGTTTTTTTATTGATATGTTACTACGAACGTCCATCCATATATATAGATAGATATTAAAATTTAATTACTTACAAGAAGTAGAAAACGATCGAACAAGGACATCCTTGAGTAAATCTCATGGAAGTCTCTGTGGATGAATTTAATCAAAAGAGAGGAGATTAGAGAACTAACTACTTTCATCCTCTTAGAACACTTATGGAGTTTTAATAAGAGGAAATAGTGTTACTATTGATAATAGATATTATTATGTAAAACGTAACAAGAGAACTGTTTGAATATAATTGTAAGGGTTTGTGAGAAAACTCTGCGTGTCCTTTTGTCTATTTATAAGCAAAAACCTTGAGAAAAGATAAGACTATTTCAAATACATATACTAACCATTATCAAATTGAGTCTTTTTTTTTAAAAAAAAAAAAGTCTTTGGTGTTATCATTATTTTGTTCTTAATTATAGTTGTCATTTTGGAATTTTTACTTATTATCATTATGGTTGACTGATACATGTCATTGCGTCTGTTAAACTATATTTTTCCTTATAGTTCATTTATATTTTCTATACCTATTAATTAAAAAATAAAAATATGCGATGACACAATTGGTTTTTATCCCACCATATTTGGTTTTAAGTGTATCGACAAAGATTCTTGGGTCGAAAGATATAATAATACCATTTCCGTTAATACCCGTGTTTGTTACTCAAAAAATGTATAAATTCAGTTCACATGCTGAAGAAAATGATATTTCAATAGCTTTCACTTTTTCCTCCAAAGTTAAGAATTCTGAATTTCGAACTTAGTTTGTGGTCTTCTGGAATACTACATCTAAACAAAACAATTCAAATTGACACGACGAGTCTTTTTTTTGTTGTTGTTCAAACACGAAGAGTTTTAAACCAAACAAAAATCGCATGAAAGGGTAATTAAGTTAATTAAACCAAATCCATCCATAACTTAATTAAAAGACATTTTAAATTAATTTCGCATAAAGATTCACTGATGCCAGAACTAGATGTTGAATTTAAAATGTGGCACATGCATTATAAATTTAAGGGTAGCGAATGAGATCTGCTTGCAGAAGCTTGAATATGTTCTCACACAGCTTGATGATCTGAAACAAACCGCTGACCGGTTCTGGTTGATACTATTGATATTATAAAAAGGCTTACTTGAGAGGAATCAACTAAAACCTCTACACAACATGAAAGGGTAGATAGATCACACACCATTATAAATTTAGCAAGTGGCACATTCAGCCTCCCCCAACCAACTTACATCCGCCCATGTCTTTGATCTTTTTTTGACGAGGATAATAAAAATCGACACGTGAGAAATATATATATATATATAGACTATTACAAATGGTGAATAGATTGAATCAAAATATTATTTGAACAAATATACATTTTTTTCGTTTTCGTGTACGCAACTGTGTAATAATGGTCTATGTTATATATATATAAATAGATCACACACCATTATAGATTTAGCAAGTGGCACATTCAGCCACCCCCAACCAACTTACATCCGCCCATGAGTTTGATCTTTTTTTGACGAGGATAATAAAAATCGACACGTGAGAAATTTATATATATATAGACTATTACAAATGGTGAAAAGATTGAATCAATATAATTTGAACAAATATACATTTTTTTCCGTTCTCGTGTACGCAACTGTGTAATAATGGTCTATGTTACTAAATGGCAGACATTTATTTATTGAGTATACTCTTCGTGGAACGTTTTTTTCGTTTTTAGGTAGCGAACCCAAAACTATCTAGTTTCGTAAACAATCAACCAAAAGTCTAAAAAGAAAATCAGCTCCTTAATCCTGTGGAACTTCCCCCAATCTTTCTTTATCTTTGTAAACAAGGAATATATATGCACTTTAGCTAGGCTTCAAAATTTTTTGACTCTTTTTGAAAATAAGGAACTTGTTCGTCATCCTTAAGCAAGATGGGCCACTGATTGCCCTTCTTTGTGTGTTCAATTTGAAAGGGGTCTGTATACATTTTGATATTTTCAATATTATATGTAAAAAATCCTTATTATTTTGTTTATAATCATTTAAACAAAAATAAATGTTTATTTATTTAATAAAAAATTATTTGTTTATCTTTTATATTTTTCTGCATGAGTTAGATGGCAATTATTCACGAGAAAACAGGTTGTTTTTAATTAAATTGGCACATGAGCAAAAAAGAATGACAGAAAATTAATATTTTATGGGAAAAAAACAAACAAAAATGTGCCTGACTTTCAAAGAACAATAAGTCTTTTTTTTTTTTTGTCAACAAAAAAAACAATAACTCTGAGTTTGGTCATGCCCTCTCACGTGTCTAGACTGCTTGCCCTCTCAGTTTGGTCATGCTCTGACGAGAGCCAGCAGACGCAGCGTCGACGAAAAGAACCGACCTTTTATATATTAGTCACATATGAAGCGGCGGCGCGTCTCTGTCGCTATCGAAATCGATGGAGCATTTAGTTGAGACAGGCAAGGAAGGTGCAGCGAACCTCATCGAATAATCTCTGTATGGAAACTCGTCGTCAAAATGTCCGGTTTGCTTTCCGTCGTCGAAATTCAACGAGTAGCTCAACGGATCGTACCGGAATTTACGGTGGTCTGATCGGTTAGGGATTGCACCGCAGCCACCGCCGCTGTTTCCAGCCCTTCCTCCGCCGCAGCAGTGGTTGCGTCCGACTCGGCGGATAAAAGTCTTCCATCTAGGGCCGGCGACGAGCTCCGACCACTCCCTCATCTTCCGCCACCCGCAAATCCACCACCGTTCGTCAGGCTCGCGTTTATCGGCGGTGCTGATCCGTTGCCACCACACAGATCCGCCGCGAGAGGACGGCTGAGATGAGGCGAGGCAGGGCATGAGGAAACAACACCCTCGCTTCGCCAACAACGCCTCGTGCATATCGTCGTTGTCGTCCATTTCAGAGATCGGCGACGATTGGTGGTGCCTCATCGATTTCCGAAACCAAAGGATCTATTTGCCCTCTGATTCCTTAGATTTTCGTTCCTCTTCTCATCTCCAACTCTAAACCCTAAATTTCTCCCTCTACCAAAACAAGAGATTTCGTTCTTGTCTCTCTGCAATCAAAACGCGTCTCTTGAGCTGGAATTAAAAACAGTGCAGCAAAACGGCGTAACCGCCAACCTCGGATCTGAATCTGATAAACCCTTTTTTAACCGCTTTTGGTTTTATCATTTAACCAGGAATTTGAAACAAATTACGCTATTCGGTTTGAAGCACCCCATACCGGATACTAATTGCGGGAAGTTATTCTCGTTCGGATCACTTAATAACGCCACACCAGTAAGTCCATTTCAGAGACCAATCATTAAACGAATTTAAAGACCAATGTTCATTATGTGATTAAACACTTAAGCGTCAATATGCAATCAGATAAACAGGCAATTAGGACTCATCAGTTGGTGATAACCCGTGGCTTAATGCCTGAATCGATGATGGACCGGTTCATCCGGTTTGTCTATGGGTTCGATTAGTTGACTGTTTGTTAAACTTGAACTAGAAATGGTTATATTCATATACCTACAGGAAGTTGGAACAATTTCATTGCAGGTGAATGTTCAAACCAAATTCGCCTAAACTTTTTAGCAAAATGAGTGTAGTAAGCAGAAAGCGAATCAACACAAAAAATTACTTGACCTCTATTATTATTCTAAAAAGTATATCACAATGGTTTTACCTGATTCCTCTCAAGTAAAGCCTTTTTAAAAAATATCAATAGTATCAACTGGAAGAAGGATACCGGTCAGCGGTTTGTTTAAGATCATCAAGCTGTGTGAGAACATATTCAAGCTTCTGCAAGCAGATCTCGTTCGCTATTCTTGCGTTGTAATCGCATTTCTCAAAGGGACGGTACTCGCACGCGCTTTTGATCTCTTCCCTGAGCGTCACTTGAATATCCTACAAGTTTCACAAGAACTTCATGTTTTCGTATGGATTAGAAATAACTTGGTAACATATCTTTTCACAGTCCAAGATGAGCAATTTCATGAATTAGACAACTCAATGCAGCTGAAAATCTTGACACTCTATGACTAACTAGACCAAACCCCCCAAACAAAGCCTTTTTTACTTGTTCACGACATGTAATGATCCCTAATCTAGACTAGTGTCAACTGTTCAAATTCATAAACACTTGAAATTCAGATGAAATCAGAAAATATCAGCATCCATGACTCATAAACCTTGAGCCCAAGGCTGAAGGATAAATGTCAAATCATTAAGAAACAGAAAAGGAAGACAACTGTAGAGATTGTAAGATATGAACCCAAATCTTCCCAGTCAGAGATGAAACCAGGAATCAAAACTCTAAACAAAGCCCTTTACTTTAAATCAGGAAATGCAGTGAACCCTAAAATAGGGTTGGATCAAATAAGCCCAACTGTTCAACATTTAAAACAAACAAACAATGCCAAATCCCCAGAAAAGGAAGACAAATGTAGTGAAAGAGAGATCGAGTCAGCAAGAACACTAGTCTAGACGTGTCAAATGAGGCCAATTGCTCTTTGCTCATCTAAATTATTAGAATCCAGAATATATCAGAAATCCCAAATGTAGTAAGGAAGAAGAGATCGAGTAAGCAACCTTCATCGATTGCATGAACTCTCGGCAATGACTGTTGACGAACTCTTTCTTAGGCCCAGAAGGGCTCGCCAGCTCGTCCATCACTCCTCCCGCTATATCCAAAACCCTAACAACTCTCTGCGCGAAAAGAAGAAGAAGAAAAAACGGATACAGATTTACACCCCAATAGCTTAAATAATCGGAGATTTAATTGATAGGATTGATTCTTCCTAAAATATCACCCTCTCGACATTCTGGAGTCGCTGCAACGAAGTGTTCTGCGTCTGTGGATCCATCTCGATTTCCTTAAGAAACGACGAGCAGGAAGGATATGATAGTGGAATATATTGAACCGAATTAGACGGCGGGAGAAAGACCAAGCGACGGAGAAGACGATGGAGAAGACGACGGAGAAGACTCGGCACCACAAATCGGTGAAAGATGGAGGAAGAAAGAAGAGCAGATAATTCTAGCACGTAAAACGGCACGAAGTCTACTTCATAGATCCTAGAACGGCATGTACTTAAAACGTTCAATTACGGGAACACCCCTTCGTTCAGATAAAATCTTTGTGATAGCCGCTCTCTTTTATTAACGGATAAAAACCGAAAACAACTCCAAGAACAGAAGAAGCTCTCTCCTCTGTAACTACAATGGCTCACTTCATAGACCTAAACAGTCTCACCAACATTTTACCGTCGATACCGAGACTACCTCAGAGTCGGAAAACCGGAAAATCCAGCGGGTTTGTTTGCAGGAAAACCGGAGAATTTCAAGAACCGGATTCGGTACAGCTCACAAGACGGATGACATTGGGATTTGCTGTCTCTATAGGACTAACTGGAACTTTCGGCATAAATAATACTTCTTTGGCACAAGACAATGGGTTTTGGATCGATGGTCCTCTTCCAATTCCTCCTATCTACAACAGTAAGCAACATTCTATATCAAACTCTTGATTCCTTAACTGCAGAGAAATGCTATACGTTTGTGTGGGTTCGTGATTGGTTTTTAATTAGTCTGCAAGTAGTTTCCAAAAGTTAGGAATCGAGATGAGAATTCGGTTTGGTAGAGTACAATACCGGAAACTACTCATTCAGTTTCCTGCTCCGTTTGGGTGTACAGATATAACAAACGAGCAGACGGGGACGAGGTCGTTCTTGAAGAAAGGAGTGTATGTAGCAGATATCGGGACAAAAGGAAGAATGTATAGAGTTAAAAAGAATGCTTTTGATCTGTTAGCAATGGAGGATTTGATCGAACCAGATACTTTAAACTACGTTAAGAAGTACTTGAGGCTTAAATCCACCTTTTTGTTCTACGATTTCGACAACCTCATCTCTGTTGCTGCCTCTGAAGACAAGCAACCTCTCACTGATTTAGCCAACAGGTTGTTCGATAACTTTGAAAAGGTAACACTTTGTTTCGTTTTTCACCCGTATTCAAACGGAACAGAGTATTATCTCTTGTTTGAACATACCCTTTAATCCTTTTTTTTTTTGTGTGTGTGTTTGATACAGCTTGAAGATGCAGCTAAGACAAAGAACTTAGCTGAGACAGAATCGTGTTATAAAGATACCAAGTTTCTTCTTCAAGAGGTTATGACCAGAATGGCGTGAACCCGCTTTGGTTTTTATTGGAGATCATATCATGGTTGTCAGCTCTATTGTCATTAAATGTATGTAATATTGTATAAGCCAACAAAACAAATACAGATCTAGTAAAAAAGACATTGTAATATAGACCTAATTATGATTCAAGTTTAAAACGAAGAATTGGATTTTGATGTAAAAATCAACTAAACCGACTAATTTTTTGCATAAATCTAACGGCTCAGATTATCTCACCATCTCGACATATACACACGCACAAAAGAAAGACAGAAAGAAACCCATAGAGCGTCGAAAATCTTTTTGACTGGCTACTTGCGTCATGATCCCGTAACAGGACCTTCTCGAGCAGCACTAGCAACATTGGTGACACGGAGCACGGCCTGTGCACTAAGAGGTGAGAGATTCGACTGGCAGAAATTTTCCCAAGTGGCTGCCTCTGGATGCTCCTCCTCGGATTCGACTGGTTCAGATTTTGTGTAGACTGACTGAAGTTCCAGTAAGACGGTCCGTGCAGCCTCTCGGGACTCTGGGAGTTGGTCACTAAGCTGAGATGCGGCTGCTTGGACCAGTTTCTCAATTCCGTATTCTCTAATGCCTTCAATGCCCTGATGATAATATATAGCCAAAGAAGGGCGATGTTGATGACAGAGAATGGATTCAAATGATTTATCATATACAGAAGAAGAAAATGGGTTAAGTGAATTGTTTATTACCAGCCGGGGAACACTTCGGGAGAAGCACATGGATGCTTTTGCACGGATCCTGGGATTCCTATTCTTCAGACAAGGTTGAAGCTTTGGCAACAGCAAGGTAGGAGAAACATGTGTGGTCATCGCCACCAATGCTTTTTCGGCTGCCTCACAAACAAACCGCTTGTCTTGGGAAGATTTAAGGAGGAGTTGAGTAAGCTGGAAAAAAAAACGGAATTTGAAAATTGCTATTACTATAAGAAACACGCAGGTAATAGAATGGATTCAAGAGAGGATTACCAGGGGATCCAATTGATCGATTATCTGGTCATTATATGAGCTGAAGATGTCTGCGGATGTCATACATGCGGTTTTACTTACAGCACTTCTTGGGTTCTTCAATGACTTCACGACGAGCGGGATCACTTTCTCCCTGTGAAAACTGACTTCGTGAGACTAGAAAATTCATTCTGTCCAAAAGTGTAAGCCAATCTACTAGGAGTGATAATAACATCTCAGAGTAACAGAGAAAAGGACTTACACCATGTGTAGCGTTTCTTCCTTGTGGAATATTGAAAGACGACGAACACTATTAAGAGCATCACAGACCGAAACCCAATCCTTAGAGTCTAGCCCAGTCAGAAGTGACTAAAAAATATTAAAACAAGGTTAATCGTCATGAAAACAAGTTAATTTCCAGAGTAGTTCCAAAACTCCAAACAGAAGAATAAAATTGCATCGCAGAATTGCAAATGAGAATTTACAGTAAAGGCATAGTTTAACACCTTGAGAACTGCGTCAACATCGGTTACATGGTTCAAGTCTTGGGATTCGATATACTCAATTTCTATGATAACTCCTCTCTCTGCCTCGGGTTTCTCCATGTCATCAGCGCCGTTTGGATGGTTTTGATCCAAGGAGAGAGGGTTTTGTGGTGGCCTATCTTCGGCAATTCCATTCATCTTGGACAGAAAAGGCTTTGTTAAGCCTGGTTTACAGTCAATTTTCCTCTCAGATACTGGAAGATTCTTCAAACCTTGTAAAGCCTTAGCGGCCATACGATAGAGTTATCTGCCTGAGAAGCAAATAGAGAATTCACCATTAGAAGCAAGAACAGCACTTGTGCTATATCAGTTACAGGTGTAACTATAAAGAAACGCATAATCTGATAAGAACAGATGAGGGATGAATTTTCGAGCTCCTACTCCTGCTCTCAGATATTCCTCTGCAGTAGCCAAACCTCACCACAATTACAGTGGATCAATAATGCTATCACTTCACGAAATACCAACAAATAGAAAAACATTTTCCATATTTAAATTGGTTTAAATTTTTTACTTCTAAAATAAACATCATAATACTATGCCAAATTCAACAGCAAGAACATACAAGAGCAGAGATCTACAATTCAAAATCAAATTTCAAGCAATTACGAATTCAATTTTTTTTCTTTAAAAAAAAAAAAAAAAAAAAAGATACGAAAACCTCGATCTCACTCAATAACTCACTCTAGAAAGCATTCCATAATCCCCCAAACAAATAGTCATTGCAATTCCAAATCCAACACCGGTGAATCAGTCGCCGTTAAATTCTGATCGAAATCCCGAAAGAAGAAAAACGAAAAGCTGGAGATAGAAATAGTACCGGCGAATCAAGCGGTGTTGGTGAGTAAATGACCAGAAGATTAAGAGTGAAGATTAGTTGACTCGCCTATCCTACCTTAGAGCACACTCTCTCTACATAATTCCACTATATGCGCCACACAGAGAATAACCGGACAACCGTTCGCAAGTCGTACTCGTATTAGAGGTTTAAGCACGACGTCGTTTTACGGCTCGGACGGCATTATATTTCTTTTTGGCGTTTCTCTGATACACACTAGTGTTGGTTCATGTAATTACTCAAAATATGGAATTTTCAAATTTTCTCATTTCTCTAATCATTTTATTTTTTCGACGGCCTTTTATTTAGCATTTGTATATCGGTGAACAAATAGATTTACTCATTTCTAAAAATAATGGATGCCTGTATAAAGTTTTTTTGGTTAGTCACAAAACGAAAGGGGAAACAAATCGCACATATCAAGTATCAACCCTCTTCTTATACAAACTTTTGCCCACAAAAAAAAACCCTCTTATACAAACATGCACATGATGAGGGAAAAAATGGAAATAATAAGATAAGGAAATGTTACAAGCTGTCAGCTACGATTTCCAGTTATGTACTATTTTTTTTATTGATCAACAACAAATTGGAAAAGAATAACAAGGTACAGTAATGGCTTCATCAAAAATAATAAAATCACAATATTATAGTGTTCTCGCCGAATACTGTAGTTTCTATGCATGTACATTGATATATAGTTTCTTTCTGTTGTTGTTACTAAACATACATTATTGTTGTTATAGTTTACAAGAAAATAACATTGATAAGCGAACCCACGTTCCCAGGTTGACTTGTGTTTAATTTGGACCGGTAGATGTAGTTGACCGTCTTTCATTTCCTGCTTTGATTTTGTGTGCGATTTAACTTCTATCACAATCGAATCGGTTAATTAGGCTGATTAGTCAATTTCTAGTTACTCATCAACATCAAACCGACACAATCTTGATTATGTTTTACATTTAGTCATTTAAGTGCTTAGCTCATGTAAATATCCGTTGTATATAATTTCTTTAACGATGAAGAATAATATGAACTTCAAGACTGCGTTAAGTTTGTAGAAAAGAGTAATAGAAGAAGAAGAAGACTGCTTTAGTATGAAAACTAAAACAAAAATAAAGACTAATTAGTAATCAATTAACGTGTTGATTAGACCTTCCTCGAGTTACTTTCCTCGTGATGCCAATGGTTTTACTTTATTACCTTTCTTCTGACACAGTAACATACATTCATACAATATGTATAGTTCTCCTCATGTGATATATATTCCCAACAATAGCAACAATGTAAAGTAATAAATCACTTTCAGTAATGACTATTCATGCTTTGCTTTCATGTAATGACGTAATTAGACTAGAATAACAAAAAATTTGCTTCACATCATTTGATATTTTTTACCATATGTTTTTTTCTCATTTTGTGCTTAAAAGTTTAGGTTACAATCACCGAACTATACAATATTTGAGTAGCATCTTCAAGAAAAGAATTGGTAATAAGAAAACAAAAAGAATTTTAAAAACGCACACAAAATAAAAAGCGAGGATAATTCACGTTTTTTTTTTCTTTCTCTCTCCAAACAGAACTTCGGGAAAAGTGGAGAGAAAATTAATAAGAAAACCTCTTCTCACTTTCTCGCTATATTTTTCTTCTTCTTCTTCTTCGTCTTCAATGTAAGCAATGCTCGATTCCAATAACCTAATCGAATAATGGAACTCACTGATTCTACGAACGAGCAACTCGGAGAGACAAGGAGCGTCGGTCTCAAGGAAGATAATCGCTCCTTTCTCGGCATCGATCTCAACGAAATCCCTACCGGCGCTACTCTCGGCGGTGGTTGCACTGGTGCTCAGGATGACGACGGAGAGTATGAACCTGTTGAAGTAGTTAGGTCAATTCACGATAATCCGGACCCAGCGCCTGGAGCGCCTGCGGAGGTTCCTGGGCCGGATCGGGATGCCGCGTGCGGCGCGTGTGGAAGGCCAGAGTCGATTGAACTCGTAGTAGTCTGCGACGCTTGTGAGCGAGGGTTTCATCTATGCTGTGTTAACGACGGAGTGGAGCCGGCTCCTTCCGCCGATTGGATGTGCAGCGACTGTGCTACCGGTGGGGAGAGGAGCAAACTGTGGCCGTTGGGGGTTAAGTCTAAGCTCATCCTGGATATGAACGCCTCGCCGCCGAGTGATGTGGAGGGATACGGAGGCGAGGAGACGTCAGATTCGAGGTACGTACCCGTGGTTCTGTTTCGACGATGCGTTAGGGTTTATAGGATATTGAATTTTGGTTGAGTTCGAGAAGCAAGACTTGGGTAAGCTTTCTTTATGGAAAGCCAGACGGATTATGGGTATACTAGCTTTCGTTCATGAGAGTTCTTTAAGTAGACTTTGATTTTGACTATTACGAGAATTATCTATGCATGACGAGGCTTTCTATGCATATGATATCTTTTGATAAATTTTAAGACTCTACCTTGTGGGAGCATTCGTTTTTTGTTTTCCCCTTTCATTTAGTTGTTTAGACTTCGTTTGATAGGACTTTGCCTGGCTTTCTATATTCTTGAGAATGGTTATGTCGTAGAAAATACATAGCAGAATTTTTAAGCACTGATGGGTCATGTGCTTCCTTGTTTCTTCTTCTCCAGAAAGCATATGCTGGCCAGCAGTTCTTGCATGGGAAACTCTTTTGACTATGCAATGACGCATTCAAGCTTTTTGAATCCTGGTAGAGGACATGCTAGTCCCGAAGCGTCAGGGATAATGGCTCGTAATACTAAAATGAGTGTGGATGGATTGGATTCACATACCCTAGGTTTTGGCTTCCCGTTCAGCCTGAGCAACAGTAATTCGCCCGTTAGATTTCCATCCTTAGATCCAAGTGAGCTGTTGCTGCAAAATCTCAGGCATTTCATATCGGAAAGGCATGGAGTATTAGAAGATGGTTGGCGAGTCGAATTTAAACAACCTTTGAATGGCTATCATCTATGTGCTGTGTATTGTGCTCCGAATGGAAAGACATTTAGTTCCATACAAGATGTTGCTTGTTATCTGGGCTTGGCAATGAATGGTAAGTACAACTGTATGGATGCTGAAATCAGGAATGAGAGTTCTCTTCTTCAAGAAAGATTGCAGCATATGCCCAAGAGAAGAAAGACATCAAGATGGCCAAACAATGGTTTCACTGAGCAAAAGGGTAGTTCAGTGAGTGCTCAGCTCAGGGGTTTTCCATTCAATGGTCCGATGATGTCCCCTTTTGCCATCAAATCTGATACTCTTTTTCAGGCTGGTGAATCCCTTAGCTCTGGAAAAAATGAATGCGGTTGTGAGGAAGCTAATGTGAGTGTAATCTTTAAATCTCTCCTGGTTAATTTTTTTAAAAAAACTTTTTATTCCTCATTTTGTGTATTTTATTTTCAGAACGGACTTCCAATGCAGTTTGAAGATTTCTTTGTTCTGTCCTTTGGACGAATTGACATAAGACAGTGTTACCACAATGTCAACATGATATATCCAATAGGTTATAAGTCCTGCTGGCATGATAAGATCACGGGGTCGCTATTTACGTGTGAAGTATTGGATGGCAGTTCTGGGCCTGTTTTCAAGGTTACAAGGTCACCATGCTCGAAATCATTTATTCCAATTGGATCAACTGTCTTCTCCTGCCCAAAAATCGATGAAATGGTGGAACAGAACCTTGACAAACGAGGTGATCGTAGAGACAGTACTCTAGAGAATGATGATGACACTGTTGAGATTCTTCTTTCAGATCCCTCCCCACCTCTTGGAGATGATATATTGTCTTGTTTACGAGAGAAAAATATCTCCAATACACTCAATTGTCTGCGCTCTGAAGTTGGTTCTTCTCAAGTAGACTTTGATAATACTTTATCCTATAATCAGAAGCATGGGGTTGAAGTTGGCGATATTGTTGTGGAAGAAGAGTCATTGTCTGTTGCATGGAAAAAGGTGTCTCAAAAGCTTGTTGATGGATGTTCCAATGTCCTGAAGCAGAAGGGCTCCATGATCTTACTTTGCAAGCATGTTGACAGAGAAACAAGGGAAATTAACCGGGATATGATAAATGAGGAAGACAATGTAATTTTATCTTTGTCAAGATTTTGCTGTTCTTTGGCTCCTCACATTGCTACATGTGGTGAAAAAGATAAAAGCAAGATTGAACCTCTAGTTGATGCTTTGTCAAGGTGGCTGGATCAAAGCAGATTTGGACTAGATGTAGATTTTGTACAGGAAATTATTGAACGTATGCCTGGTGCCGAATCATGTTCCAATTATAGACCTCTGAAGATTAGAAGTTCTTCTTCTGTAACTGTAGCAGAAGGAGCGCTAGTTGTCAAACCAAAAGGTGGGGAAAATGTCAAGGAAGAAGTATTCGGTGAGATTTCTCGGAAAGCCAAGAGGCATAAACTAATTGGTGGTCATGGTGTCAGCAATCCACACCCTCCTCCCGGGAGGCCTATGTGTTTGAGGCTTCCTCCTGGGCTTGTTGGTGACTTCCTTCAGGTACGGACTTGTGTTTTCCTTATATGGTAATCTACAACGTATCCCTCTATTCAATAAGTCCTACTACACATGTGATAGTCATTTTTTTTTGCGTGCCTAATTAGATATCTGAAGTGTTCTGGCGTTTCCGTGAAATATTGGGTTTGGAAGAGGCTTTCTCACCTGAGAAGCTTGAACAGGAGCTTATCAATCCAGTGTTCGATGTTTGGTTTCTTGATAAATCTGGGAAAGAAGTTAACAGAAGTGAGATGAACATTAGCGATAAGGATTGTACAACTACTAAAAAATTTTCTTTGTTCGATGAACCTCGCCAACCTTTTTCTTCGGAAAATACCTCTGCTTCTGTACTAAAAGGGACAAAATCAGGGGAGTCTACTGAGCTTAACAACTCATATTCCTCTCGTGGGCCGTGCTTGGGTGCACTTTTAACAACGACTCACATTTCGCTTCTGCAAGTGCTAATATGTGAGCTGCAATCCAAGGTAGCTGCATTTGTTGATCCAAACTTTGATTCTGGAGAATCGAGATCCAGACGAGGACGGAAAAAGGATGACAGTACACTTTCTGCTAAAAGAAATAAGCTGCATATGCTTCCTGTTAACGAGTTCACTTGGCCTGAATTGGCCCGTAGGTACATCTTGTCTCTTTTATCAATGGATGGGAACCTTGAATCAACAGAGATTGCTGCCCGTGAAAGTGGTAAGGTATTTCGTTGTTTACAAGGTGATGGTGGTTTGCTTTGCGGTTCACTTACAGGTGTGGCTGGGATGGAAGCCGATTCAATGGTATGTTTTTGTTATTTTTCTTCTTTTTTGTTTTGGGTTCCATATCTTTCTTGTCTTACTAGATGATGGGTCACAAGTTTAGTTTCACTTTTGGAAGCGTTACTTATGTGCTGTCTTTCTTGTCCTTCCAATTTTCTATCATTTTCCTTCCACCAAATTAATCAGGTTGATATTTCTCATTTTGAAGCTATGTTCCGTTCGTAGGTCACTCTAGAGATGTCGAGCTTCTCTATTCTTCTACATTTACATTTATATTTTGTTACTCTTAAATATTTACTCTTTTACTATACAGTGGAAAAATCGATTTACTTTGTTTCTCAAATGAGTGATATCTTTGGGGCAAGAAATCTTTGATTTGTATAGATTAAAGTGTTACTATACTTAAGTTCCTAAACCACTCTCACAGAAAGAGAATGGTTGTTGGATTCACGTGTAAATATTAACTCTTTATCTTCAGTTACTTGCAGAGGCTACTAAAAAAATATTTGGGTCTTTGACCAGAGAAAATGGTGTTCTTTCTGTGGAAGATGATGATTCCGATGGCCTTGATGCCACTGAGATAAACACTTGCAATGGTGATATTCCGGAGTGGACACAGGTTCTGGAACCTGTGAGAAAGCTTCCAACAAATGTTGGAACTAGAATCAGAAAGTGTGTCTATGATGCTTTAGAGAGAAATCCACCAGAGTGGGCAAAGAAGATATTGGAGCATTCCATCAGTAAAGAAGTATATAAAGGCAATGCTTCAGGACCGACAAAGGTTCAATCTTTCATACCAATTCTCTTCCCTCCTGAAGTACTTGCAATACTGAATTGCATAAACTAAGTATTTCTTGTTTTCTCAAATTCACTTCAGTTTTTCTGGCTCTTGTTCTTGCGGTGATGATGTATTCTCAGTCTGATACTGCATGCTATTATTTTAGGCTCATCTTTATCCTAAGACAAGTTTTTTTGCTCTTACTAAATACAGAAAGCTGTCCTCTCATTGCTAGCGGATGTTCGAGGTGGAGATTTGGTGCAGAGGTCTGTTAAAGGAACCAAAAAGAAGACGTCTATTGGTGTATCTGATGTCATTATGAAGAAATGTCGTGCTGTGTTGCGTGATGTTGCAGCTGCAGATGAGGATAAAGTATTTTGCACTTTGCTGGGCCGAAAGTTGCTGAACTCCAGTGACAATGATGATGACGGACTCCTGGGATCACCTGCAATGGTTTCGCGTCCCTTAGACTTCAGAACGATTGATTTGAGGTTGGCTGCTGGTGCGTATGATGGATCAACTGAAGCTTTTCTTGAGGATGTTCTTGAGGTGGGATTCTCCCTCTTATAACTGATTTTTCTGTACCATGGATGCCTTAATGCTTATTGTACGATATGAATATTAGTTTCTAAGTGCTTATAGTAAAAGTGCTATAGTTTCACACTAATCGTTTCGATGAATGAATGTAAAACTATTGCAATTGCCAGGTTTAGATTTGCAATGTTTTTGCCTTCTCTTTATATCTCAGCAAAATCTGGTTCGAATTTCAGAATTTTAGCTGCCTCAGTTGTTGGATAACGTTTTAGCTATGATTAGAAGTCGAAGCAATTGAGCCTGACAGTGTATGCTTGACTTATTTTTAAAATTTCATTGTGATGGTATACTCCTGGACTGTTTTTGATGAATGCAACTTGATATTTTTTCACGGATGACGCGCTAATTTTAACTTTCTAATTTGCAGCTGTGGAGTTGTATACGTGCTATGTATGCTGATCAGCCCGATTGTGTAGAACTGCTCGGAACATTGTCTGAAAAATTTAAGTCATTATACGAAGCTGAGGTTTGTCGTTTCTTCTCCTTTGGTTTTTTCTGCTATGCTCTGCACAACAAGATATGTTCATTACTTTAGTAGCATCTTGATGTCAAATGGTCGAGACACTTTTTTAAATTTTGGCATTTCTGTCAAATATCAAATAAATTTGTTAACACTTATTTTATGTGAAGCCTTTGAGATCATTAGATGCTTTAGAAGGGTTTTTCCTTTTGTGTGCATGTATAATTGTAGTTTTGTTTGCCTTTCAGTATTCAGAAGTTTTATGTATGTTCTCCTTTTTACTATGAAAGTAGTTGGAGTATTGGGTGAAATTATTTTCTCAAGTTTCAATCGTTTATTTGTTTGCTGGTTTAGGTTCTACCACTTGTTCAGAAACTTATGGACTACAGAAAATTGGAATGCCTAAGTACAGAGGTGAAGAAGGAAATTAAGGACATAGTAGTTTCAATAAATAAGCTTCCTAAGGCTCCGTGGGATGAGGGGGTATGTAAAGTATGTGGCGTTGACAAAGATGATGACAGTGTTCTCTTGTGTGATACATGCGATGCTGAGTATCACACATACTGTTTGAATCCACCTCTTATTAGAATACCTGATGGAAATTGGTATTGTCCATCATGTGTCATTGCCAAGCGCATAGCTCAAGACGCTTTGGAATCTTACAAACTAGTCAGACGGCGGAAAGGTAGAAAGTATCAGGGGGAACTTACCCGAGCTTCTATGGAAACGACTGCACACCTGGCAGATGTGATGGAAGAAAAAGACTACTGGGAGTTCAGTACTGAGGAGGTCAGTCTTGAACCTTTTCTCCGAATTTTTTCTCATTCATTCGAAATGTACCAACTTTTCAATCCTATTTTGTAGATGACGACCACGATTATATTTTCGTGTTGTGATCTTTAGTTTGTGTTGCGACCATGATTATATTTGACGCATGCTGTGGATTGACTTAGGTACCTTTCCGAAGGAAGAAGTCGTTAGATATATATTTTTCCATACTATAGAATTCCGGTTAAATTGAGTCAAATGAATAATGAGTAATGCGAAAAAAACTATTTTTGTAGCCAAAATTTGGAATCGTGACAAATGCCACAGCTCTCTGTCTTAAAATTAAAATAAGCATACGGTGCTGCTGCTGTTGGTAATATGGTTACGTTTTTTATGTTCTGATGCAGAGAATCCTGCTGCTTAAGCTTCTATGCGATGAACTGCTTAGCTCATCCCTTGTTCATCAACACCTCGAGCAGTGTGCCGAAGCAATAATTGAAATGCAGCAGAAGTTGCGCTCACTTTCCTCAGAATGGAAAAACACGAAAATGCGGCAAGAATTTCTGACGGCTAAACTCGCAAAGGTTGAACCTAGTATTCTGAAGGAACTGGGCGAACCACAAAATTCAAGTAGCTTTGCAGAGCAAATTAGATGTAATCAACAACAACAGGAGGGTGTTGGAGACAGGGTTACTCATGATGATGACACTTCCTCTGCTGCATTTCTTAACAAGAATCAGAGGACAACTCCGCTTATGACTGATGCTCAAACCGAAGAGTTACATGTCATTTCCGGTGAGAGAAAGATTTCCACCCCAGAAAATGTTACATCCCCTGGGAGGCCCGAGTTGCCAATAGCAGATGCTTCTCCTCATGGAACGGATAATTTGTCTTGTGAAAAAGATAGCTCGGACACGTTGCACAAATCAGTTGGAGGGAACCATGAAATACACACTCTAAAATCCAATGCAGTGGAATCGCAGACAGCTCATGATGCATCTTCTATGGCTTCCCAAGAATTGCAGGCTAGTCAACAAGAGTTGAATGCCACTAGTAATGAAATACAGAATCTGCAGCAATCAATCAGAAGCATAGAATCACAGCTTCTAAGGCAATCTATACGAAGAGACTTTCTGGGAAGTGATGCTAGTGGTCGTTTATATTGGGGTTGCTGCTTCCCAGAAGAACATCCTCGTATATTGGTTGATGGGAGCATATCTTTGCAGAAATCTGTACAAGTTAATTTGACAGGTTCAAAAGTCCTCTCCCCATTTCTTCATGCCGTTGACCATGGAAGACTATTGGTTTCACCCTGGACGTATTATGAAACTGAAGCGGAAATCAGCGAGCTTGTCCAATGGCTTCATGATGATGACCCGAAAGAAAGAGAGCTGAGAGAGTCTATTTTGTGCTGGAAAAGGTTACGATTTGGGGATCTTCAAAGGGGAATGAAACAAGCTCAGAATTCCTCCTGCCCAATATCTGCTGGGAGTCTTGTGACCAAGGCTGCCATGTCAATGGAGAAGAGATATGGGCCATGCATCAAACTAGAGACCGAAACCTTAAAAAAACGGGGAAAGAAGACAAAGGTTGCAGAGCGAGAGAAACTGTGTAGATGCGAATGCTTGGAACCCATTTTGCCATCTATGATTCACTGCCTCATTTGCCACAAAACATTTGCAAGTGATGATGAATTTGAGGAGCACACCGAGAGTAAGTGTATTCCTTATTCATTAGCAAGTGAAGAAGGCAAGGAAATCTCTGATTCTTCTAAAGCAAAAGATGGTCTGAAATCTGATTATCTTAATGTATATAACGCCGGGAAAGATGTAGCTGAGATGTCCAATGTGTCTGAACTTGATTCTGGGTTGATAAGATATCAGGAAGAAGAATCTATTTCCCCATACCATTTCGAGGAGATCTGTTCCAAGTTTGTGACAAGGGATTCTAACAGAGATTTGGTTAAAGAAATCGGTCTGATCGGTTCAAATGGAACTCCAACATTTCTTCCGTCGTCAACATTTCTTAACGACTCAATGCTCATATCTGCCACTTGCAATAAGCTAGATGGTGGTGATTCAGTGGATCAGGTGATTTTTACTGGTTCTGAAGCCAATGATGAAGGCTTAAATTCTGAATCTAATATGTCATTCAATAGAATTGTCACAAATGATCTTGGCGGCCCACTGAATAAACCGAGCGGACTGAGTTTTGGTTTATCAGATCAAAAGAATAAGAAATCTTCAGGTCGTGGTTTAGAAGGCTGCTGTGTAGTTCCACAGTCTTCGTTGAAACGTATTACCGGCAAAGCGTTGTCGGTTTTCAGGTTCCTTAAAACCAATATGCTTGATATGGATGTGGCACTACCTGAAGAAGCTTTGAGACCATCGAAATCACATCCAGACCGTAGGCGAGCTTGGCGTGCATTTGTTAAATCAGCACAAAGCATTTTCGAGGTACAATTATTCTTTTCTCCTTTCTATCTGATGAAGCATAAGCTCGAATTTCTAATGTCTGTGCCTTCGATATTTATCCCAGTTGGTTCAGGCAGCAATTGTGGTGGAAGACATGATAAAGACAGAGTACTTGAAAAACGAATGGTGGTACTGGTCTTCTCTTTCAGCGGCTGCTAAAATCTCGACTCTCTCTGCGTTATCGGTCCGTCTCTTCTCCCTCGATGCAGCTATTTTGTACGAAAAACCCATAAATCAATCAGATCCTAAGGATGAAACAAAGACGATCAGCTTACCAGACCAGAGGTCACAACCTGTTTCAGATCCACAAGAAAGAAGCAGCAGATCAAACAGAAGATCTGGTAAGAAGAGGAAAGAACCTGAGGGATCATAAAAATTCACTTGAACCACCGGGAAAAGAACAAAAAAAAGAGCTCAGCAACCCAGCCCGGGAAAACATGAACCGGAAATGGTGGATTTTTAAAATCAAAGTGGAGCCAATGTATGTGTATGTGTAGATATAAGCAATGTTTCAATCTGGGACCAGGTCCCGGATGTTGAGATCTGGTTTGGTGGGTTCATCATGACAAGTCCGATTTACATCTTTCTTGGAATGGAACGGCGGTTGACGGCGTTTTAACAGGTGGATGAGCCGCCGAGAGAGTATGTGTACACATAAATATATGTAGAAGACTAACTAATGTGGAATTAATTAGTATTAAAGTCGCTTCTTAGACATTAACTGATTTTAGAACCAAAACTTCGATTCTTTATAAAGCTTTCTCTCTCTCTCTCTTCTTTATATAAATGGATAATTATGAGGGGCTTCAATCTTTCTTCTTCTTCGTATATTATCATTTCGAATATACTATTTTTATCCGCTAACAATTTATTGATCACTTCTAACATAATATTTGTATTCGCTAATATGTTATGTTTTTTAATACATTGATACTTAGCTAGAACTACGATGTTAGTTAGAGCTACGATGTTAGTAAAAAATATGTTAGATTGATAACAATAATGAATTATCTAGATTGTTATAGATGTTATTTTTGAAGTTAGTGCGCTACAAATACATATAACACTCTAGATGTAATGTTAGCATTCTAACAATAAAATTATAAGAGGAAACAAACAAACCTTCTTCATCAATTTTCGACGGTTATCTGTGTGGGCGGCGGTCCGAAGACGTTTCCCGGCGATGTATCAAAGTGGTAGTGGAAGAAGATGCAGCAGGCGAAAAATCAGAAACAGCTCTTCAAGGCGCGTCTATCCCATATATCCCATGAACGCTAGATTTACGAGATGCGGAAATGAGCCGAGCTCAAGGCGGCGGTGGCCGAGCTTGAGCGGCTATGGGAGCCCGTTCAGAAGCCACCAAATCTATTCTCCATATGTGCCAACGAGCAAGTCAAGGTCCTCGTGGACCGATTTCAAAAACTCGGCGGATTCGATCTATGGATCGATCGGGATGGTCCAGCAGCTGTTTGAGGCCGTCGATGATTTACCTTCCGTTAGGTTTTCCCCCAAAGGTGTGGTTCACGTGTGAAACTTTATCGAAAATTACCAAAATTCGTTGGTTCAGATGGAGAAAAAAATCCGCTGAAACGCGAAGAAATTGAGATGAAATTCGATGAAATTAACAGTGATGAAAGGATGACTAAAGATAATAGGATGTAGGGGTAACATTGCCATATTAAAAATTATACAGTATCGAAACAGTGTTTTTTTCTATCTTACAAATTATGAACACACTTGGGTTATCTAGTACATTTACTTTAGTATTATTGGTAGGTTCAAACGCCGGTGAATTTATGGAGCGATATAAATAAATATTTTTATTTCCTAACTTAAAAAAAAATTAGAAAATAGATTGACTCGTGATTTTCATAAAATATATATATATATAACTGATCAAATACCGCGGGATTATTCCACAATTATGCGGGGGTTACGTGAACATGGAAACGACATGAACTGTACTCAGATAAACACACACAGATACATAAATGTATGGACTTGCTCTAGTTTTTTTTTGTTTTCAAGGCCAGCCCCAGAATCCGAGTGATTCGCCGTGGTCATGCGACGGCGAAGTGGTGGGCACAAAGACGTCGGCGAAACAGCTCCGGTCATTAGCAGTACCGGGATTGTTGTAGTTGTTATCATCTTCCGAGTGGATGGGTACGATGATTGGGAAGTAAGAGTCACAGCTGTCTAGTAGCTGAGGTGCGTCCTCGTCTAGTACAGCACTCCCAACACTCCCTGAACTTAACCGGTCCTCTGTTTTGATTGCTGGTTCGAACCGGTTAATGTTTAGCGGATCGAGTTGGTTTGGTTCGGGTACTTGACCCGGTGGCTCAATGGCTGCCTCTTCTTTGGCTTGGAGCTTCTCGGCGAGGGAAGCCATCTGCAGGAAAGATTCTAACTTTTTTTAATCACAACGGTCAACACAAGCAACCTCCCATAAAAGGATATCAAAATTAAATTCTCTGATCGATTTGATTCCCAGTTTTGTTTCTTTTTTTTCTAAGTTAACATAGATGTATGTATGTAGAGAAATTCTCTTTCTGATTGTCTTGAAAAAGTAAAAAAGGAGAAGCATATTCTTTATTTCACTTGATGCTTGCTTTATCCTTTAATTGGACCAATAAGGCAAAGATGATGTAGATCACTAATCATTCGTATTAATCTGAGCTTAATATGACTCGGGGTCAAATGTAATAAGAGTTTGAATATAATGATGAAAAGAATAATACCTGGGATCTGAGCAGATCGTTCTCCTTGACGATGGAGTCGTAGTTAGAGAGGAGTTGGTCGTAAGTGGACTTGAGAAGATCGAAGTCTCTCTCGAGCTGTTTGGTTTTCCAACGAGCTCGGCGGTTTTGAAACCAGACGGCCACTTGCCTTGGCTGTAGACCAAGCTTCTTGGCAAGCTGAGTCTTGCGCTCTGGCTCTAGCTTGTTCTCCTTCTCGAAGCTTTTCTCCAGCAGATGCACCTGAACACATCATCATCATATACAATCTTTATTTATTTTTTCTTCAATTAAAATAGTGTGTGTTTACAGACACAGATCAGGGAACACAAAACCTGTTCGGTAGTGAGGCGACGCTTTTTCTCGGGCATCTGGTCGTCGTAATACTCCTCCTCATAGAGATCCTCCGGCGAGCTAAAGAAAGGCCTTCGCTTTGATGTTTCATCCATGTTCAACACCGATTTTGCTCCTTCCATATCCGAATGAGAAAAAAAAAAAAAAAAAAAAAAGGATCATATCAATCAAATGAATCGTAAAATTCACCTAAAAACCAAAGTCAAATTGAGTGAGAAAAAAACTACCTTGGACGACGGGATTGAGATTCCCAAGGAAGAACATGTTGCCATGGGAGGGAGATGGATCGAAGAAAAACGAATTGGATTCCATCGATGATTATCCCAGGGAAAAACAAAAAACAAACTTCTTCAAATCACAGATTTCGAAAGCAAAGAAAAGAAAGATGAAACAGAGCGAGAGAGAGAGAGAGAGAGAGGATCGGGTTGAAAGTAAGAAGAACGAGAGGAAGTTAAAAAAAACAAAAAGAGGATTAAAAGATCATAATCTTATGACGGAAGAAGCTTGTACTCCATAGTAATCTCGCCGGAGACTCCAACGGGCAGATGCAAAATCCCATCATGAACTGCAATACCCCTCCGGAACCAGAGGGATCACTGAACAATATTCCAAGGAAACCCTTTCCGATTTTTCGACCAAAAAGTTTAGTTTTTGGTAAAAACCAGAGAGATTCAGATCATAATCTTGGATTGCTTTCCCGATTACTTGTTACTTAGTTAGAGAAAAAGTCCTTAAGTTTGGCCTTGCCTTTGCTCTGTCAACGTATCAGCTAAACTCATTAGCTTCAAGACTCACCGTCTTTTATACTAGGAAGCCGTCCTTATCAAATGACTCTAATACCCTCCTTTTAAACTCAACGGTAGTTTCTTTTTGTTTAACATCCAAACGGTAGGTTTCGTGGTGAATTTCTTCTCTAGCTACTAGACCTTTATGTTTTGTTTCCTACATCTAACACTTTGTGCAATCTAATCGATTTTTTTATATTTGGATAGTGACAAAAAATAACCAATACGAATGAGAAGAGCTATAGAAGACTACAAACTTCTATCAGCGATATCAAAAATAACAATACTAGTTTTAATTAGAGAAAATGACATGTTTTGAGATATGACTATGGACTCAAGTATTTTTATACTGTTTTTTTGTTTTCACAGATCTCAACCGTATTTTTATACTGTTGGTGTAGAACAAAATTCAACTATATCCTAGTAAATTCAATAGCAAAAAGAAATTTTAGAAACATTTTATCTCTCTCTCTCTCTCTGCTCTTCTATTGAATGCATAATTCAAAATCACTGCGGACCAAAAAGGGGCAATTCGGGTAGTTCGGAAGTTATTTGATTTTACAAGCTGAAGTGGACTTTTCTGGGCTCGATGGGGTCCACTTTCATAAGCGAGTGGACTCGATAACAGATCTCAACCGTTGGATCTGAATATGCCTTTTTATTATTTTATTAAAAATTAAGAGTTTTATTCAGCTGTGGTGGTTCGGCCAGAGTGTGTTAAATAGGGTGCATGCTCGATGGTCGGGTGACTGTCGGATCTGCGCTTGATCCGAATACATCTAACGGTCCTCATTTCTCTGTGACTAATCTTTTTTTTTCCACAGCCTTGTCACAGTATCATCACATCATTATAAAATTTAGTAAAATCAAATTCACGTCATTCCTATCTTTTATTTGTTTCTTATCTTAATGCACCTTGCAGTCTTGCACACAATAAAAATTACATATATTGATGAAGATATTACTTTTGCATATTTATATCACATTTAAGGTTATGCAATTGCATGGTATTTGGGTATACTGGTCAAGTTACGGTTCAAAATGCCTTAAAAAAAAACATACCAGTATTTTGGTTAACATATCGATTTCATGTCACCTTATGGTGAGGAAAAGAAACGGGCCAGGTGCATAGAACTGCTTATTATGGACGCATTAATTTAAGCTAAAAATGGAGTATATACATTAGCTATTAACTTACTTACACAAGTCCCTACGTAGCTTTGCCTTGTCTTTTGTTTTCGATAATTTCTTACATTAAAAAAGATTCTCCCTCCCTCAGTTATTTATTTTTGACTATTCCCGGATCTTGTTTTCAATGAATAATGGTTTTTCTTTTTTATCGTCTGAAATTTTAGTTTGACATATACACATGAATTTAATATTCCTCGTTCGTTTTCATTTCTTCTTGACTCTTCGGCTACTCAAATGCAAATACTCTTTATCTATATATATATATATGCATATTTATGCGTGCTTATATGACTTTTTTAATATATGCTTGCATACATATATATGGGTATGCTTTTTTCTTGATATGTATGAATATAGTTGATGAAGAACAAAGCATTTCGAGTTTATAGTTCTGTTAATTTAACATGAGTGATTGAGTTCCATGATAAACTTTAAAACTGTGATTTACTTTCTCTTGTTATAGTTAAAGCCTTTGCGGTATATTTATATTTATAAGAATTCTGTTTGTAGAATTAGATATATAGATGTGGAAAACATGCTTAATTACGATATAGTCTCGTTCCATGTGTTAGCCAGTTGGATATCTACGGACCTTTCCAATAAAGGAATATCTTTCAGCACCGAAACAAGAATAAAAGAGGTTTTTTTTGGCTAAAGAAAAAATCCTCAGCTAAAAATATATATATATATATATGTATGTATATATATTATTAAAGAAATTTGAAAGATAAAGGAATTTGCCATCCAACGAAGGAGTGGGGGTTTTCATCTCTCCCCAAAAGATAATACTATCACAAGAAAATCAAAACAAGAAGAAGGAATTTACTGTATGCCATTTATAACGTCTTTTCTTTCACGCTAATCGTTCTGGTATAGTAGTTTAGTATGTTGTGGGTTGTGTTGTATGTTTACTTAGAAAATAGTGCAGACATATATATATATATATGTGTGTGAGATTGTCTACATATTAATTCATTTTTCAGTGTTTAATTTGTTGGTATCAATATCATCCTGTGTATGTGTAAAAGCATATAGATTATATATATTGTATATAAAGGGTATATGATCAATAGATAATGCGAAGCAATGTACCTGTTGTAACTAGTAAGTTGACTCCTTATATTATATGATCTCGAATGTTTTGTTATAAAAAGAATCCTTGAAAGGTACAATTATCATATAATGGAATGTATACTTGATATAAAAATCGCTAATAAGCTTTTTGATCTTAATTAGCTTGTGCGCTAATGAGAAACATTATTGTATTATTTGTTACATCTTATTCATCTTACAAAATAGCAACACAAATAAGAATCGATTTTCCTTTTGTTATTTTGTTTCTTCACAACTAAGTTAAGAGGCCATGAAAATGGTGGCATCTTTTTTATTGGATAGTGTCTTCTGAATTTTTCCTTTTATTTTTTCCAAAAATAGGGGACTTTTTTTCTTTATCTCTATTTGTTGCTTTGCTGAAAAAGGTGATTGGGGCATAAATAGTTCATGGAAATTTGTGGAAATATAAAACAAGAATACTTCAGAAGAAAAAACATCAGTTTCGAGTTTCGACATATTGCCATGGATTATCGCTCTTGAAGAAAAAACGTTACAAGATGCGTAAGAAAATAAATAGTTTTATTATGATTGGGTTGGACTGTAATTGTAGATAATTTGCTGTTTTAATTTAGTCTGTATATCTATTTTTGTAGTGGTGGTTCCTCTGTGATTTATGAATGATCTATTTTTTTCATTGTTCCTTCGCAAACTTCCGATGATAAAATGGGAACGATTTATCTTTTCGTTTCACTGTAAAATGACGTGTAAATAATTTGGATTTAGAAAAAATGGACTTTAGAAAGGAAAAAAAAAGAAAGAGAAGCAGAACACCTGAGAGTAACAATGACTTTAGGGTATAAGTATAGGTAGTGGATTAGTGTCGCCATGTGTGTGGTTCTGTAAAAAGATGATCAGTCTATAAAGGTGTGAGCACCATTCATAGTTTAATAGTTTTCTCCACTATCTTTTTTTCTTCTCCTTATTCTATTTTAAAAACCTTTAATAACAAATAAAGTTAAAGCTTTAAATTAAAAACTTTTATCAGAATCGTTACTATCTGTCATGATATTCATATTAGCTTCTGCTTCTTTTTTTGTTCAGGGCCAAGATGTCATTCTCAGAAAGAGAAAGGATATAATATTAAATTTATAAAATAAGAATATTCAATCTTTTCGTTTGAGAAGGTCCATTCATAATGGTATGGGTTTTCAATTCTCACTGTATGCAAATAGTGATATTAAAAAAATTTCATCTCAAGCCACACACGTATACACATATCTATCTCTATAATTTTAAACATATATATATTTTAAAACATATATTTTTTAAACACACACACATATATCGAGAGAGAGAGAAAGAGAATATAAAAAATATACATATACATTATACATCTGTAATATAGTAAAGAGTACATTATACGTGTATGTACGTTCGATACGTAACTTTTTTTACCAGACCATTTATTACTTTTTTATAGTCAGTAATACAACCCACTGACCAAGTGACCATGTATTACTTATCTATAATGATGCTATAATCGAGCTGATTTATGATGTAAAGACTCGTGTAACGGTGTAAGGTTATATAAGAAATCAAATAAAAAAAAACCTTTTACTTCTTCGTCTTCCTCTGTTCCTTTTGACCTAGATTCTCTGTTCTTGATTTATCTCCATTGATTCATAGTTAGTATAATTTGTTAGTTTTGTAATATACCATAGTTTATATTATCATTTTTTCTTCTAATAATGCTTAAAAAATGTTCAAAAATGGTTCTTAAACCTTTCATAAAGGATCTTAGCTTATTTTTAAAGGATTGTAAACAAATAAGACCAAGACATACAAAATATATTTCAGAAAATGTCTCTACACTACTTATATATAATAGGGTTCTCATCTATGAGAATACCCTTTTTGGCTAAAAGATATACCAAAAGTATAAATTGTAGTATATATTACTTATATCTAGAGAAATTAGATATAAACTATTAAGTCTTGAAACATGTCTTACTTACTTACTTATATTAATCATATACAGTATATATTGTTATCTGCGAAAGTCATTCTGGTGTAATTATTGAAAATATTGAGAAACTATATATATTTGGACCACTAGTAAGTTATAAGTATGTTACAGCTGATGTAACATATGAAAGCAAAGCGATAGGGTCGATTGTTTAGTCTTCGAATACCCAAACGAATCACGCGAGTTGAGATTGTTGAGAACCTGTTGTTCTAGCCGATAACAAGGGTTTAAGAAAGCAAATCTTCTTTGAATAAGAGTAATATGAGTTGTATCCTTACAAGCCAAGAGATCAACCTATTTATAGTGCTAATAAAATCTTTAATCAGTTAGGTTTAGGATTCTAATAATTAAAGTAAAACCGACATAAGTAAAGAAAAGGAAAAGAAGAATGAAAAGAAAAACCAAAGCCAAAATACAAAAGGAAATAGAGTCTACGCTGCATCAGTTTCCAAGTTCCAACATTCCAAAATAAAGAATAAAGATTTATATTTTTCTTTACGAAAGAAAAAAAAAAGGAATATGTTTCATGTAGTTATCATCTTCTTTCGAGTTATAGATGTAGGTTACAAACTTAAAATGTATATGTTCAGAAAAATGCAAACCAAAATCACATAAAGGTTGTGCTTACTATGAATATGCAAATGTATAGGCCAATATAGTTAATTAGAGCAGACGAAGAAAGCCCAATAAACGGCCTATCTTAATATAATAAAATAAAAAGATAAAATAAAAATAACGTGGAAGAAAATTGTAATCTTATCCAGAGAGAGAGAGAGATAGAGAGCAAGTAGAGTCGTAAACCCCTTATCCTCTTCTTCATCTCCTTCTCTAATTCAAAAAATCTGACGCAGACACAGGCATATCTTCTTTCGCATGTTCTTTTCGGACAGAACAAAAAACTTCCCATTCCAATGTCAATTCATCTGGGCTGTCATTGAAAATCACGTCTCTTCAAACCCTTGCCAATCTAACTGTTGATCTCCAATGGCGGCATCGTTTGCCTCTCTCCCCACATTTAATTTCGTCAATTCCTCGAGATTTCCCCGAAGGAGAATCGATTCTTATTGCTCCAAAAAGCCCCTCGAAGTTCGTTGTCACGAAACTAAGCAGGTTCGGTGTTTCTGATTCCCCTTCTCTGTTTCTTCCTCGTCCGTCGTATAAAAGGAAGTAACCCCTACACTCTAATGCGCTCTCCAATGCTCATTTGAAAAAGTTAGATATGACAGTTGGAATAAGTTCGGTTTTTAAAACGAAAGAGTCAAACTTTAAAAGCATTAATTTAATGGATAAGGAGATCGAAATCAACCCCTCATCATCACAATGTGAGATTTTTTTTGGTCTTAAAACTTACATGAATTCCTCTTGATTTTGGATGCAGAGAGGGACATTTTCGTCATTGAAAGAATGTGCGATTTCATTAGCTTTATCGGTCGGTTTAATGGCTGCAGTACCGTCGATAAGTTTGCCTCCCAATGCGTATGCAGCAGCAAATCCAGCGATTTCAGATGTGTCAGTGTTGATCTCTGGTCCTCCCATTAAAGACCCAGGAGCTTTGCTAAGATATGCATTGCCTATTGACAATAAGGCCATCAGGGAAGTACAGAAGCCTCTTGAGGATATCACTGATAGCCTCAAGATTGCTGGCGTTAAGGCTCTCGATTCTGTTGAACGGGTAAAGACTTGTTGTTGGTAACATCAAGATTAGTGATCAGTGGAATTGCGCTCTGTTTTTTTTTTATTTATTGAGGAATTAAAAGGGGCTTTTGTTTACCTATTGTAGAATGTGAGGCAGGCAAATAGATCGTTGCAGCAAGGGAAAAGTATGATCGTGGCAGGTTTTGCTGAACCGAAGAAGGATCATGGTAATGAAATGATTGAAAAGTTGGAAGCTGGAATGCAAGATATGCTACAGATTGTGGAGGATCGGAAAAGAGACGCGGTTGCTCCAAAGCAGAAAGAAATTCTGGAATATGTTGGCGGGTGAGTTCAAACGTAAAAAGAAAAAAGGGGTATGAATGAGGAAAATATGTGTGTAGAAGTGAGATTGCTCATTTAGACCGCTTTTTGTGATTGATGACTGCAGCTGAGATCTTCGTGTGGGGCATTCGGTTTATCTGCAGAATAGAAGAGGATATGGTTGATGGCTTCCCTTATGAAGTGCCTGAAGAGTACCGGAACATGCCTCTTCTCAAGGGAAGAGCCACTGTGGACATGAAGGTCAAGATCAAGGACAACCCCAACCTCGAGGAATGTGTGTTCCGCATTGTTCTTGATGGTTATAACGCCCCTGTCACTGCCGGTAACTTTGTGGACTTGGTTGAGCGGCATTTCTATGATGGCATGGAGATCCAGAGATGTAAGACTGTTTAGATAAAAACCCCAATCTTGATGTTTAAGAATATGGATTAAAAATGTGTGCTTTTGGTTTCAGCTGATGGATTTGTGGTACAAACGGGAGATCCAGAGGGTCCTGCGGAAGGATTTATAGATCCAAGCACAGAGAAAATGCGGACGGTTCCTCTTGAGATTATGGTCACTGGAAAGAAGACGCCTTTCTACGGCTCAACTCTTGAAGTAAACGGACCTACCTCTCAGTAGCTCTCCTTTGTCAGTTTCGTCTGATATTTTTTGTTATGGTTTTGTGATATGTAATAACGTCCTTTTGGTGAAAACTACAGGAACTGGGTCTTTACAAGGCTCAGGTTATGCTTCCTTTCAACGCATTTGGGACAATGGCAATGGCAAGAGAAGTGAGTTCTTCTTCTTCCTTCCTTCCTTTTGAAGTTTGAATATATACATACATATATTTATTTTATGGTCATTTGTCACTCATATAAACATGAACTTGTAAATGCAATCAGGAGTTTGAGAATGACTCAGGATCAAGCCAGGTGTTTTGGCTGCTGAAAGAGAGTGAGCTCACGCCAAGCAATTCCAACATTTTGGACGGTCGTTACGCTGTCTTCGGGTACGTTACCCAAAACGAAGATTATCTGGCTGATCTTAAAGTGGGCGATGTTATTGAATCCATTCAAGTCGTCTCCGGTTTAGACAACCTCGCTAACCCGAGTTACAAAATCGCCGGATAACTCCACCTTTATCTTCTTTTTTCCCTTTTGTCGGCTTCAACATACATTACAATACTCTGTTTTGTGAGACAAATTTTTAAGAGGTGCATGTGTCGGTATGAATGTATTATGCAAAAATTGTAAGTTATTATTGTGGACTCTGTAAAATCTATATACATTTTGTTCGATACGCGTTGACATCGTTTAATATCCCCTTTAGAAAGTAAGACATACATATTTAATGACCCCACAAGAAAAAGAAAAAAAAAAAAAAAAGCAAACAATTAATTAGGGTTTGTGAGTACTATTTATAAACGTATGAAATGATCGTTTCAAATAGATACGACATTCATCCTGTAAATCATACACCAACTGATTGAAAGTTATAAATCCCACATTTGATCATCCCCACAAACTTAATTAACTAGCTAATTAAGTACTATTATAAAATAATCTTTCTACTATGCAAATTAAATAAGAGCTAAATAATAATAGAAATGTTGTCGATTTGGTTATATATATATATATATATATATATATACGTAAGTAAGAACATCAGGGGCCTCGGTGACGGCGGAAACAGAAACAGCCATGTTGTTGGTCGGGAGGAATCATACCACCGCCTTTAGAAGTATCGATGGACTCCAACATGGAAACAACTTCATCCATCTCAGGCCTCTTATCAGGGTTCGCATCCCAGCACCTCTTCATCACGTTTCCCAGCGCACTCGGACAACATCTCGGTATCTCCGGTCTCAAATTCTATTTATTTCACATTATTTTATTGTATATATATTATTATTGATTAGACGATGGATAAATGAAAGAATATATATATATATATATATATATAAAGCTATAGGAAAAATTAATGACAATTAAGACCTGGCGGACGACGGCGGAGGTAACTTCGGAGAAACTGAGGTCGGGATAAGGCATGTCGCAACAGTATATCTCCCACAGACATATCCCGAAGCTATACACATCACACTTTCTGTTGTACGCACTCCCATTTAACACCTGTTTTTTTTTTTTTAAAGAAAAAAAAAAACATTTTTCCATCATCTTTACTAATAAAAGTACATACTATTAATTATATCACAATTAATGTATATATATACCTCGGGAGCCATGTAGCCCAAGGTTCCGGTCTCACCGGTCATGTCGTTAGGGTTGGAGGCCTCGAGACGAGCCACACCAAAATCTGCAATCTTTAAGGTGCGAGACTTGTCCAAAAGCATGTTCTCCGTTTTCACGTCTCTATGCACTATCTTCTGCGAGTGCAAGTAACTCAACCTAATACATTACATATATATATATATATATATATATAAATCATAGGGATTTAGTTTAATTTATCCATATTATAAAATAGCAAAAAAAAGACATATATATATATATATATGTATATATACCCGCGAGCTAGGTCAAGGGAGAGTTGGATAACGACTTTGAAGGCGAGTTTGCGGCGGCGAGTTTTGATAAGGAAAGACTTGAGAGCACCGCCGGGACAATACTCAACGACGACGCAGCAAACGTTACTCGGCATTCCCATTTGCCCGTTTTCCGTCTGTATGCTCATCTCCGATGTCCCCATCGCCGCTCCTATGAACTTTTTCATTTCCATTCACACGTAGAGCAACTCGATCAATATATTATTACGTTTCGATTTTGGCTATAGTTTGAATATATTGGTTCATGTGTTCACCATATTAACACCATTGGGTACTGGGCATAAGAATGAGTGGGTACCTTGGTGACATTGGGATGGTCAAGCTTATGCCAAACAGCAACTTCTTGAGTGAAAGCAGCTCTTAGCGAAGCTATCTCTGCGTCTGACCTGTGTCCCTCTTCTCCCCAATCTAGTAACTTCACTGTTTTTTTTTTTTTTTTTTTTTTTTAATTCAAATTACATTAATTATTTAATTCACACATATATAAATTCCTTGTTTTTTTTATATAAAAAAAAATCCAAATTGTTTGAAAAAAGTAGATATAGAAACAGAGTTTTTCGATTGCAGTAATGCATGTTTTTTTTTCTTGATCACTTGGTTAAGTTATCTAAAGAAATCTTACTTATTTGGCCAACCGGGTATCTAAGAATAGTAATATATATTTCTTAGAATTAAGACACAAAATATTTAATCATGAGAGACAGAGAGAGAGATTGTACCGGCGACATCTTGACCATCATAGATTCCACGATGGACAGTACCAAAAGTACCACGAGCAATCACACTTTTGATGATAAGCTTAGAAGGATCAATTTCCCACTCTCTCCTCGACTTCCCCACCTCGGTCGTCGTCGACCTAGTTATGTCCTTGTTGTTGTTGTTGTTATTATATCCACCACCACCACCGAGAAGCGGTCTCTGAAACACAAGCTGTCGATGTCCGAAGTTGTTTTGGTTGTGTTTATTAGTAACGTTATCTTCGCCATCACTCAAACTCTTCCTCTTCTCCATCGTCCATGCTCTGCTTAAGTGTCTTTGCAACTGCTCGTCCAAACTCTTTAAATCTATCTGATCCGCTCTCACGTATCCTACTCCTCCTCCCCCACCACTCTCCGCCTTCTCCTTCATTTTCTCCGCCAAAACCAAATATTTTTTTCTTTCTCCTTTTTTTCTGTTTCCTTGAGATTATTTTATTGTATTTTCCGGATGGGTTGTGAACTGTGATTGGAGTGTTTAGGATCGAGTTGAACAAAAAAAAAGCAGAAATGGGGAAGTTGTGTTTGTGTTTATTGCAACAAACAACTAAAGAAGAGGCTCACTCTCTCTCTCTTTTTGCTTTCCTTCTTCCTCTGTGATGAAACTTCTCGGAATACTTCAAACTTAATTTTGTTTTCAGACAAACAGTCGTTTACACGTGACCACATGGGGTGTCCCTAACAGGCTAAGGCTCGACATGTGTCGGCTCCACTTCTCACAACTCTCTTTTATGGATAATACACTATTACATTTTTCTACTCAGAACTAATACATTATTTTCATTCTTACCGTTTTTTAAATATTAAAAAACTACTATCATTTACGGCAAAAAAAAAATTACTATCATTTTTGTTGAGAAATTTCGTATAGTATTATTTTATGTTTTTGTTTTCTGAAAGTAGCACCATTTTTTTTTATTTTCTACAGTGATTTAAGATCCATTGTGAATAAGTTAAGAACCTTTATTGCTTTTATTTTGCTGTAGTTCTTGAATCTTTTAAACTTTGAAGATAATAGAAATTATATTATTATATTAACTATCAGTTACTTCGAGATTATTACGTTTCACAATAGACAAATTAACGTCACAAACCAAAGTTAAAAGAAAAAAAAAAAGATAAAAAGAAACCTAAAAATTATCGTTTTGGAAATATATAATGTATTAAATATAACCTTATATAAGTGAGTGACGATAGATAATTAGATAGTTCATGAAATCATGGGATTCATGGTCATTTTTCTACCTTTCCGCTAAGCTATTGCTTTTTCATTTTTTTGTTTGTTCTAATGTGCCATTTTCAACATTACTTTATAATTACTGTTTCTTTCATATGTCAATGTCATCGTATCATCTTATGTCCTCGTACATATACGAGTTATAATATGGAATAGAAGTATCATTTTATCACACAAATGAAATCGAAAATAATTTGGGGTAATTTTGTTTTTTCAATAGATAATTTTTGGTAATTAATCGTCTTTGTTCGTCAGAAACCAAAAAAGAAAAAAAAAACAAAGAAGAAGCTTAGACAGTCACAAATAAGGAAACGGGTAGGATAAGAAAACGACCGAACATAAAGCATTGAAATATATTTAATCCACCTTATTTATTATATTTACTCAATTTTCAATATTGGCATAACCGTATTGCGTTAAGTCTGAAAGTTGTTAAAAAGAAAAAAAAGGAAAAAAAAAGAACTCGCTGATGATTTGAATCGACATGCACGTCAGCACGTGAAATCTTTGACCGCCTTCAATTCATGTGATCCAAAACTGGAAAAAAAGTATATGTACTGTGCCGGCAGCAGTGCGCACATAATATAAGTTACTTAAAAATTGTATTTTTAAAGTATATTTTTATATTTATAGGAAAATAAAAAGGGTGTACATCTTTTGTATCACAGGCTAACAGTTACATAATATGTTTAATTTCAAACAGAAAAAACAAACAAAAAAATCTTCTTCGTTGAAAAAAAAAAAAGAAAAGAGCAAGGGTTTTCTAACCCAAAGACAAAAGAAGATAGCCAGAGACTCAGAGGTCACATGGAGAGGTTAGAAATTGTAGCAAGCATATCTATTTATCTTCATTCTTCAGACTCAACCATACATGAATAAAAAAAGAAATGCCATATTACTAATATTTGTATAAGGTATATACCATTGAATATAATATATATATATATATATGTGGTTTTAATATGTATACTTTTTGTCGATATGAGCGTGATGGAAGTAAGAAACGTATGTATTTTAATTTATTGTTATGTGTAATGACGAGACAGGGAGGTTCTATTCTTTACTTTCTTCAAAATTCTAATGAATATGATTTTTAAATGATCACTTACTGTCAGATCCCAAGGTAGTCAAACCAGGTTGTCTCATCTTAATCAACTCACTTGTATTTGATTTTGGCCAAATCACTAATTTTCATGCCACTTACCTTCCTCCAGTTCACATATATTTGAATAAAGCTTGAACTTATTATATTTTCACTAACGTCAAAATTTACTAGATTATAAGAAATTACATATTAACTGCATGTGCAGTAGGGAATGAACAAAAATGGAGAAAAAAAAATAGAATGAAACAGAAGGTGGATTAATTAAACAAGCAGCAGGACAAAAGCTTCGCAAGGGAGCTCAAAAAGGTAAGGGAACAAATGAGGATAGACTCAGGATTAGTTGGCAATAAAATTGTCAAGGAGTCTGTCTATCAAGAGACGCTTTGAAGATGACCTTATTTGTGACCCACTTTCTTCAGATTTCTTAGATATAGTTTAAAATCTGCAATATACTCTATTTATTTACTTTCAAATACAATGAAATCACTTAGTTGATATTTTAGTTTTTATTTGAATTCTTGTCCCCAAATTTTCAATTTTCTTATTTAAATAAAACTAAAAGACCATTTGCATGCAAGATTCATATTTAATTATAATGCGAAAGGTTTTCTGATGATGGACTACATGGAAACACAAGTTGGTGTGACTGAAAGGAAAAGGTGAAATCGGAAAAAGGCTTCAAAGAAGTTCCTACAGCTTCCAATGTAGTATGGTAGCCACATCTTTAACCTACCAAGCAACATAGAAAATAAAATTAAACCGTAATACAACCGATTTGACATACCCATATAATATGTAAACTCAAATTTTCATTAAAACCGCGAAATATATATGTATATCATCTGGGTCCCCTTTTTATTATTTATATGAAGAAACTTGGTAGAGAGTAAGAAGAGAGATAACTCATCACAATCAACGGTACATTACAAATTACATATGGAATAGAGATATATTAAAGATGATGATGGATGTTCATGATGATGATGATGATGGATTGGTTCATACAGAGCTAGTTTCGGAGAGGCCAAATTCAAGTCCCCAAAGCTCAAAAGCACCCTTAATAAAGTCATAGTAGCCTCCCTTCAAAGCAAGTGTTCCCTTCACAAGTCCTTCTCTCACAAATGGATATGTTAATAGGTTTGCTAGTGAAACATTCACTGCCTCCTGCATTAATTAAAAACATTGTATTATAGTCTTATATATATAATTTGTATAGATATTTATTTCAGATATGAATGAACATGTAAATTGTGTACCCTTTCACATCGACCACATTGGTCTTCAAAGGCTGAATCTCCAAGTTCTGATATAACCTTTGACTTGGCTGGTAAACAGATTTTCACCCAATCCTCTATGAAATCACTGCAATTCACAACGTTTATTGTAAGAACATCATTTAATAAAATAATTGATGTTAAATTTAGAGAAATTGGATATAAAGAAATTATACGTGGAGTTGTTTCCATCTAAGGGGAAAGACATAAGTCCCTTGATCCCACCACATGCACTGTGTCCTATCACCACAATGTTCTCCACCTACATTAATAAATTGCAATAGAAATCAAGTAAGTATTTAATAATATTAATTATGAAATTAACACTTTTCGTTAATTTACAATTATACATTTTCAAATCTATCTCTATTTTTCTCAGGATCTTTTAGTTAGAATAGTTGAATATATTTTACTAAATTCAGTACCGTCTTTGTTTTGTTAAGGTGTTAATACTTAATAGTACGAATATATATATATATATATATATATATATTTTATCTTAGTTGTTGTATGTGAGTATATCACACATAAATCTTGTATGTCCCCGTCCAAATAATTGAACAGATATAAGAGGTAAAAGATAAATGGTTCACCTTAAGGTGCAAGACAGCGTATTCAATGGCTGCTCCAACTCCACCGTATTTGACCTGCAATTTTTTGGAAAAAAACAAAAGGGTCAACGTTACGACTCATTGAGACAAAAGTCAAACACTTCGGTCTAGAGTCCTAGCTAGGTACGTAGAACCGTAGAAGAGAGAGAATAGTAAAGTGTTAGAAACCTTGTCAAAAGGAGGAACCATGTTGGCAATGTTACGGACCACAAAGGCCTCTCCTGGCTGGAAGTTGAGGACGTGCGATGGACACACACGTGAGTCCGAACAAGCGAACACCATGTACTGCACCACCCATTCACACATATATAGATTACTCACTATTTTCTTTTCATCTTTAAACAAATTGTTAATTTGTTATATTCTTCTTATTTACCTTAGGACTTTGACCCTTGGCGAGCTCACCGTACAAAGCAGGGTTGGTTCTGCAGAATACAGTATTCATATGAAATCTAGACTAATTTAATTTGGTCATATATAATTATAAAGAATATAAAATAGGAATACTTACTCGTATTTCTCCTTCTTGAAAGTGATGAAGCCTTGCTTAATGTTTTCAACGGGGTCGAAAGCTTTCTTGTCGGAAGAAGTACCTGTCTGAAGCTCCGCCGTGATCTGCTCCACCTTAGCCGCCGCAACCGTCTTTAGCTCTTCCTTCTCGCTGCCCGTATACACACATATATTACGATTAATTAAACAAGTTTATTACATGAATACTTAAATAATTATATAATGAAAGATCCCTATTTTGGCCTTGTTTAAAAAATCATCAGATATTATATATACGCGAATAATTAAGGAAAATAGATATATATTTTACTTACATGAGAAGCTTCTTGAGAGCTTCAATGGCCTCTTGGTATGCTTCGCTTCCCATCTCTTCGCTCTGCAAGTTTGTTGACCAGATAAAATTATAAGAGAATGTTTTAGAAATTGTCAGAGAAGTAATTAATTAGTAAAGAGAGGAGCTTTGTCGTGTGTGTGTGTTAAAAGTGAAACTATAATCAACCTATTCAAGTACTACATTATACGATAGAGAACAATTTTATGGTATTGAATATATGTAATTTATTTTTGGGGTGGAACTGTGGAAGATCGGTAATGTGGTTAGGAGCCAAATTGGTAGGTTGTTAAAATAAATATAGATGGCGACTTCATCACCCATATTCTCCACACGCTCTCATATGGTACGTACGTACACACACACACTCACACGTCTCCAGTTTCATAAATCGTTTTGTTAATTAGCTTAGCTACTAGTAAATTCTTTTCTCTTAATCACGTGGATCCTACGTACGCCCCAACTTCCAATTTAAAAATGTCGGATTTTGAGTAGAGATGCCACTCGAGGTCATTATTGTTTTCTACACATG